CGGTCCTCGTGTGAGACGGTTGCAGATTTTAAAGTCGTAGTTTCCCACTCCCAACATTTCTTGAACAAGTTGGTTGAGTCATGGGGATCGAACTTGTGATCCTGTTGACCATGGCTCACAACCTGTTGCGCTACGGCATACACGAGTAAAAAAGAAATCTAACGAAGTTTTTAATATAAAAAAGAGTAGCCTGACTGGCATTTCTCAATCAAGACAAACTGACCGACTTTGCCTGGACTCTCTCCGATGCGACAAGTATTGGCCGGCTCATGGGCACTCGAAAACAAAATCATCGAGATTTGGCCCTGTCGGAGTTCGTCTTTCCAATCGGCAAGGCTCATGTTGTACCAGCCCAGCTCTCGACTAATCTATGAATTCTTCCTCTTCAGAACTCTCCTTCTTTCGAAGACAACCTCGACCTTTTCTTTGTCCTTTCGCTTCGGATCGCTTCTCCATTCGATGAGTTTGACGCCGAGGACGGCCGACGGCGGCAGATCCTTCATGTACAAATCGAAGGGTATGAAATCCTGAAGAATAAGGTTCGCGTTTTCGAACTGAATCCTCCTTACATCGGACCATCTTGGATTTGTGACTTGGACTAGTTTCGAAGACTTTCTCACCAAGATTGTGCGTCCACAGTACACTGTGAACTCTACTGAGATCTGAAAATATGAAAATATTCAAAGAAGAAAAAATCAATCTAAATATATAAAATAATGATGTACACAACGATTTATTAATCGCTTTTTTTTTGACAAGATTAACGAGTACTTCCAGCGAATCATCTTATTTAATAAAACTGGTGAAAGAGAGGTTTTTTTTTCAAGATTTTCATATAATTGAACACAATAACTTTCCGTTCAAAAATTCAGAGATACTGATCTGAAAACTCTTCAAATAAACACTAATATCTTTCAGCCGTTGTTTCATCTTACTGTATATAGAAAAAAATGGCAGATTTATTTGTTTGCGCGTAAACGCTAAAAAAGGACAATTCTGAGTTGTATTATTAAGAGATAATACTGATCTATTCGCCACGACTAAGTACAGTCGGACCTGTCTGCGTCACTTTTCTCTGACTGAAAAAGTCATAGAAGAATAAAAACAGCATTTAAAGACGAGAGAGTCGAAGTAAAAGAATAGAGCACAGAGAAGTCAGACTACTTTCAGAGTTGGCGAATGATATGTGAACTGTCAATGTGAGAGCTCTTTCAAGTCTTTGCGAATCAAATCTCTACCAAAAACGCAGGAATCTGAACGAAGAACATTTTACGGATAACTCTTATTCTTTAATCTTTCTTAACGTCTCATTCAGCCCTCATTTTCCCTACCTGTGTTTCGATGTCGGCAGAGCCGAGGTTGAGACAGCTTTGCGGCCTGATGGAAAGATTCTCGTCGACGTCCCACAGAGAAACCGTCGTCACGGTGGTCGTCGCCGTCGCCGGAATCACCCAGTCGTATTCAGAAGACGACGTCATCGACTTCTCCATGTAGCCCTCGGCGCACACTTTCCGCTCCTTTTTCACGTAGTGTGGCTAGAAATGTTCGGTCAGAAGAAGGCTGGAGAGGGTATTCGTACAATGAAGAGCGGTCGGGGCCTTGGATAGCTTCTCAGAACGATACTTTTCCGCCGTAGGACAAACTTCGGACTCTGATAACTTTCGAAGGCCGCTCTAACACTCTGAGATCATCAATCGTTGATAAAGGACATTTTCCGAATTTCTCGCCTTATAAGAGACCATCAGAATAGTTGCGCTGGTTAGGTAGCTGTTCTGTCCAACGAGTTGCAAAATGAACTCCTCGTCTTGGGTGTCACCCGTGAACTGAAATTCAGAATTTAGAAGGAGCAAAACTGGTTTCAAACGAAAATTCATCAATTAGTTTCATTTCTGCGGGATAAATGATGTTTCATGAAATTTCGCTAGTTTATTCTGAAGCGCAGAAGTCTTGCGTTCTCCAATAAACTTATTTTGGCCTCCAGACCATTAAAAAGATCCTTATGCAAATCTTCGAGGACTTTTCTTTGAAAACTTTGCAAAGCTCTTCAAAAATATAAAATGGATATCAGTAAAAAAGAAGAAAATTTGAAACAAAACATCGAATCGAAGATAACTCAAATAATCTAATAACTGTAGTATTTTCAAAGATATTACTTCGATTTCCACTGACCTTCTCTCCACTATTCGCCACTTCGGCAAGAACTAGTTCAACAAGGCCGCAGGGAGTGTAGTCCGGCTGGAATTCCATCTGGAACTCCTCCAAGTCGTTGTCGTTGCCTTTTTCCTCGTTCTCGCGCGATCGATAGAAAAACTTGTAGGAAAGACCGGCGGCTGCAGTTTTCCTGATAGAAAAAGCACAAAAATCGTGACAGACTTCTGATTTTGGAAGTGAGGCTCCGCGGACACGGCAACTCCTCGCCGAGGACCGTTTCTTCGGGGAACGCGTAATGGTCAAATCCTTCGCTTCCTCAAAGATTGACGTGGAACAATACTTTTGAGCCATTATTAGATACTCTAGCCACACCGAGAAAAAAACATATCGCCTTTTGATTTTCAATCTCTGCTCATCGGTTTTTTTCCCCTTTACACCTTCGATTCAGTATGGCAACACAAAAATAAGTTTCAAAAATTTGCAAAAAGACATCTATTTGAATAAATCGTCTATTTATCTTTTTCAAAATATTCACTGCTATCTAATGACTATTTTTTAGAGTTTTTCTCAAGCTTCCAAGACTGAAAAAAACGCTGAATACAAAAAAAAATTTTTGCCACTTTCTGCAGAATAAAATTTCAAGTGAGAATATTGCTCTTTTAAAAGCCTTTTTTTCTGCATATTTTTTTGATATTCCAAGTTCACTTAAAAAAATTTACCAGGAAGCTTACAATTTTTTTAAAATTTTTAAAATATTTGGGAAGACCTTAAATTTAAGCACCGTTTTACTCGCCCATTAAAATACCGGAAGAATCCCGCTCTTTCCAGTATCATATTCCTACTTTCTTTAAAGCTGAATATTAATTTTAGAAATAATATTGTCAGAAAACGTTTCCGTTCTCTTACCTCTCTCCTCCACTGTCTGGCGCACGATAGAAAACAGCCAGGTACGGTATTGGCGGAGTTCGTCGTCGAAATTCATCTCCATCTCCTCGTCGAGGGCGAAGCCGAGGGCGTGGTCTGAGCTCAGATTCATTCTCAAGACTTTTCGTGCACCTAACGAAACCAATATCCCGAATCAGCTCTTTTTCGTGGATCAGTCCATCCGGCTCATGCAGAAACAGAATAGGAAACGGAAAAGGAAGATCCAGCTTTCCAATTGGCGTCTGAAAGTCGAGAAAGCTGCGTAAGAAAGAAAATTTGAGGTAGTACTTCCTCGTCGAGGACGTATTCGAACTCCTCGGAGAAACTGAAAAAACGGAAGATGTAGTCGGCGGGGCAGAAGGAAAACTCGGGAGCGGCCATTCTGAGATTGGTGTAGATTTCGAGAAGTTCAAGCGAATGAGACCTTTTCAAGGCATCAAATAATGCTTCTTTCAGGTCGATCATCAAAACTTCGGCACTACATCGGATCGTGGCCGCGAACCAAGGGAACACAATCTTCAAAATTAACAAATATTAGAAAAAAATTGAAAATTTTGGGTGCGCTCGAATTTGAAGTCTTTCTGGGAAAAGTTTTTAGATCACTTTGATATTTTCTACAAAAAAAAATTGAACTAGAAGTTTTTTTTTCAAATATTAGTTCGCAAATGATTCTTAAAGGTTAATGGAAAAAGTTTTAGACGTTCAAGGTTTGAAAGTTTGACTTTTCTTACAAAAAGTTGTTTTTGAACAATAATCAATTTTCCAAAGCCGCTCACCATTTATGCTGATCCAATTTCATCGAACGTTCAGAAAAAGCGCAATCTAATTGTGGAATTTTTTCCGTTCTTCTTGGCGGTTTTAGAGCTTGGTTTCAGAATCACTGGAAAAAAAGAGAAAACGAAAAACCGTAATGAGCTCTTTGTCGCGACCTTTGCCAAACTCCAGAACGGACTTCAACTCATTGTGTGGCGACACGATCATCGACGGGATATCTTCAAAGTCCAGGCTCGGCCTGAAGACACCGTTTCGGTTTGGAAGAAGACCATCAGGATGTCTACCTTTCCCTGACAGACCACGTCTCGACGATCTTCTGCAGGGACTTGTTGTAGCCCGACATGGACGGCCTTCTTTCAGTCGACGGCGCCACGGTGAAAGGCTCGAAAGCCGATTCGCTGCGCTTCAGCCGCTGCTGCGGCTGCGGCTGCTGCTGCGGCTGCGGCTGCGGCGGCGGCGTCGACGTCGGATTTACCGGCGAGGACATTTCAACTCCGATTCATATTCCACTGAAACTGGATACTTCCCGAATTTCAGACCATTAAATCTTTTTCATCTTTTTTTGCCGTGGTATTTCTGATGAAAACTTTTACAGAAGTTTTGCATGACGTAGAACATCACTAATGGGATTAGAACCATTATGGAGTAATCTACGTATCTTCAAAAATTGCAGTTAAATTTTTTTGAAAAACTGTCTTCTGCAGTACGTTTTACTTCTTTTTTCGTGCAAACTCACACTTCGCGAGAAAAACTATTGAAACTTCTAAGCTCATTGCATAGTGTTAGAAAGAAATTTTTTTACTTGATTTTTCAAAAGCTCCAGTAATCGTCGAAATAAAAAAGTTATGCTAAAACTCGCCTAAGGTCATGTCACTGATTCGTTTCATGGAAGATTTCTTTTAACAAAGTATGAAGTGGCGCTTCAAATTTTGTTAACGATGGAGATTTCTTTACTAAATCATATTTCGCCGATTATTTGATGACTTATTAAGACTTTAAAAAAAGAAGAAATTACTACAATACATTCACCAGGCTACATAAAATACTTTTTATATGGATGTTATATTCACCAAAATTAATCAGAAGCTGATTTCGGGACATAATAAATTTTATTTCGAAAAGGGAAATGTGAAAACTGGACAAAATAAATGTCATCTGGTGATGTTCATATGGGGCATCATGGGCATTCTCTGCTGCGGAGGCATTTGCATTCCAGGAGGCATTCCGTGCATCGGACCCATCGGCATCATTCCTGGAAAAAGACAGTTGATCTCCGAAAAATTCGCAACGGCCTCACCCATCTGAGGCTGAGGCATTGACGGCGGCGGTGGCTGCTGCTGTGGAACAGGCGGCCGCCGCAGACCTTCTCCGCACATCAGAGCTCGGACCACTCGGTTTGTCTCCTCGGCACTGTTTGTCGGCTATAAAATCGTCAGAACTAGAATTTTTTATTGTCATTTTTTTATACGAGGGGCCTAAGTCTTTATGGTACTTTTCGTAGATCTGATTTAACTCGCTGATTTTTCTTTGCAAAACTTTGAAGCCGAGTACAGTCGAGCAGAAAAAAAAAATGTAAAGTTAACGAAACGCCCTTTTTTTTTTCAACCCAGCCTATGGCTAGAACATGTCTGCGCCTAAACAAAAAGTAGAAAGACTGAAAAGTCGTCAAAGTTATGTTCAGAACAACTTCTCAATCACCAGAAGTACCGTTTGTTTTTAAAATGCTCCGATCAGATCTTATCGTCATTCTCTCATTATTTGTTGTTCTATTTCACAAGTGTAGATTTGTGAAAGAAAGAAGCAACATAGAGGTAAATGTTCTCGTCACTTCGGAACCGAACTCGCGACCTTTCTCGTATAACTGGCCTGACTAACCACTTAGCCATGAGACGTTGGGTGTGAGTAATCGCGCAAACGCAGACTAATTCCGCAAAAGGCGACATACATAAACAATTCACACATTTTTGGTTTTACACTCTTTCGTTTTACAATATCTATCAGAATTTTTTTTCAAACTTCACGGGGTAGTTTGAAATCTGATGCATACCCTATCCGACGCGTTGTCCGTCTGACTACGGTCGAGATTCTGTAGAATCGTCAGCAAAAGATCGATATTTTTGTTGAGAGCGACAATTTGCCGCGAAATGACGTCTTGGCCTGATTCACCAAAATTGAGTCACAAAATACGAATAGGCTCAACTTTTCTGAGAGCGTTCAGAATCGATCATTTCTTCCTCTCGCTCCATCTCAGGATTCGGCTTCGTTCTCAGATATTCTGGCACAAGGTCGTGATTCCAAGAATGAACCCGCATTTCAGTCAATTGCTGAAAAAAAAGCGATAGGTTTTAGTCAAAATGATCCAGATCACATTAGAACTTGATATTTTCATTTTTCTGTGAAACACTGAAACGGCAAGCGCCACAAAACTTTTATTCAATTAACCTTTATCTTTGAGCAAGGATTTTCGAACGAACTATAAACGGCGAATTATTTTCATTCCAAGAAAGTTCAATATATCTCTAGAAAAAAAAACATGGACATCTGAGTTTTTAGGATTGATATCAAAAGTAAGAATGAAGAAACTGTCTTTGAAGTTTTTGAAAAGATATTTTATAAAGAGAGAAAAAATTGGAACCTGCAATTGAGGATCCGTTTCGTACTGCAGTCGTTGTGTGACCATTACATGAGACCTTAGGAAAGAGCCATTGTCTTCTGGTCCTGAAAACAAGATGGAGTGTATCGATTCTTCACAAAGTTGATACCTGACTGCAATGCGCTCTTTTTGACAGCGGTCTGAATTGTTGACATGGCCGACGCCAGCGCAGAAAACTTTTCCAACATGTCCGGCCTATTGAAAAAGAAAAGTTTTATCATGCTTCAGACACAAACCATGGAACCTTTTCCTGCAGATCGAGCATATAAAGAAGTTCCTCTATAAGCTTCTTGGCATCTAAAGTCATCTTGAATAGCCTTTCGACGACGAGGTTGACCTAAACGTGACATTAGTTTTCCGGAAAAGCTTATGAATTTACCTTTTCAGGTTCATTTTGAAAGTTAGTTGTGCTGGGAACAACAAAAGCCATTCCTAAACTTCCATCTATGAACATTTTAAACCAAAAGAAGTTATGCGATGGAAAAAATAGGACTTGATTCGAACAATTCAGGACAGCATATCAAGCCGAAGCAAAAATTTATTCAACTAGAAAAAGTTATTTCTTTTTTAGAATTCCGTTTTTTTGCTCTGCTTGCCTAACAAGCTGATCTTGGTCGAAAGAAAGAGGGACAAGATTTTCAAATTGTATCGCCGTTTCGTTAATTGCTCTTGTCGTAGCCTAAAATAACTTAATATTTAGAAATAGTGAGCGAATTTTGGAAACCTGTTTCAATGCTGCATCTCGTATGAATTCTTCATTGGTCCGCATCAACTCCTCCACAATTTGAGTTGTATCGACAACATTCTCTTGATCTTAAAAAGTTGTGCACCTTGTGTAAAAAAGACAAAACATACCGGAAATTTCTGAAATCGTGCTTTCATTGTCATTGAAAGACTCTTTCAAAAATTGCCTTACAAAGTCATCTGGAAGAAAGGCCGGTCGTGTGGGATCGGGGTGCAACAAATACTCCTCATCTTAAAATATAAATACAAAATTAATCAATTAAAAAAAAACCTTTCGAAATGAAGAAGGGAAGAGGGCCGCAATTTGTTGAACTGCTCGTAGCAGGCCTTTGTTGAAAACTTTCATAATAGTCTGCAGCAAACTGAGTACCCCTTCCTCTAGCTTCCGGATGCAACATCTCAGAATTTGATTCCATAATAGAGAAAGTACGTTAATTAAAATAGATGAAAAAAACGTTGAACTTGATTTCAAAAAAGGTTTGAGAATTTTCGTTGGCGGCAATTACGGTGAAATATCTTTGTGCAAACACGTGCTCGCCTTTATCCACCAAAGTTTCAAAATTTAACATGCTAATGCCGTGTTCAAAGTGATTCCGCGAAATTCAAAATAGCCGCCAGAGAAAGAGAAAGATAACTAAATTTTGGAGGGTCAGAGACCATTTTGCATTTCGCGGAAATTACTTTGAACACGGCATAAAAGTTCTTGTGTGCATGCGTGCATCAGTTGCGAAAGCTCGGTAATCTTGGAAAGATCAGAGTCCCATGTTCAACTCGCAACCCAATATCTAATGGTCTGCGGCGACTCGCATAAAAATATAATGAATTTTTTAGTTTCTCAAAGAAAATTAAGTCTTTCTCACTAGAAATTTTTCTATAATTCATGGTGAATCCCCTTAAATTTTAAAACATTTTAGGAAATCTTTCGAGCAGATGGCGGTTGAATTGAACACGTGGCAAGGACCGCGAACGCACACGCTACGCGTCCCGCCCCTTGCCCCGCCTTTCTCGCCTTTCAAGTCGGGAAACATTGACTATATCTCAACGTCGAAAAAAAGGCCGGAAGTTATACAAAAAAAAAACTGTTTTTGAGCCTTCGTTATTCAAACAAATATTTGGACAGCTTGCCTCACGTAATTTGACAAGGCATTCTTTTTCCAACCTATTTGATTCTTTTTTTCTTTTATCTTTCTTCTCGGACATTGGTAACGCGGAACGGACGTGCTTCGGACCAGACTTGTGCGTCAGGCCGGGCTTCGAATAAAATTTAAAGTTTCATTAAAAATATTTTCACCGAAAAATTCTTTTTACTTTTAAAAATCATAGTTTTTGTTGAACCCTAACTAGGGAACGTTTTTTACCCCCCGGTAGAACTTCTGCTGGGACTTCGCTGAAGTGTACTTTAGGACCTCCTGATTCCAGAACAAGAAGGACATTTCTCGTTTTCGAGTTAAGGCACTTAAAAGGCCCGAAATAGCGCTTTTTTGGCCTAATTTGCGTATTTTTCACACTTTGATGCTCTATAACTCGGAAACAAGATCTATTGCGAGAAATTTTTGTCTTGATCTGCAATCAGGGGGTCCTAAAGTACACTTCAGCAAAGTTTCAGCAATAGTTCAACCAGGGGGTAAAAAACGTTCCCTGGTAAGTGGAAAAAAAAAGAAAAAAAGTGAATGTTGTCGTAAAAAAAAAACTATAATAAGGATTCATAAATATGAATGAGATTGATAGATAGGAAGAAGAAATTTTTAAAAAAAGCCTTGTATGGCGGATTTTTTAATAATTTTTTCAAACAAGTCGGGATCGAAATAATGTTGCAACAAGAACAAAGTACAAATAGATAGATAATATTTTTAATAAGTCTCGAAAAAAATCATCAAAAAACTAGAAAAAAATAATGTTATTCAGATTATTCATAGTATAAAATTTTCGAACTGCATCAGCAAATCCAATTTGGCTTTCAGTTAGGCTAATTATTTTTCTACAAAAAGACAAAAATATACAAAACCGTGGAAAAAAAAACTAAAGAGGCCAAAAATTGAAAACTTTAGACTTATCTGTACCTTTTGCGTGACCCAAAGTTTTATTCAAAATAAAAATTCATTCTCTGCAAAAAAACGTGAACTTCGTGGCAAGGTGTCATTTTCCTGATATCGAAAAAATTAACACGTACAAAAAACCACGTGGCAAGATTTCATTTCTTCTCATTTGACCTGGGTTCAATTATCATTCTTGCTTCGCTTAAGCCTTAAGGCTCCGTCTAGCTCCTGAAGTCAACGTCAAGATGAGTTTTGAACCTCTATAAAACTTTTTAAATTCCAAAAATAATTTTTCTATGTTGTAAGCGCTAGTAGATTAGGCCCGTGAGACTCCCGGAGTGCCGATCCTCTTTGCTTGCGAACTGGATACGCAAAGTCACGCCGAAGCCCATTCCTGTGGCCGAGGCACAAACTGTTGGCAGCGCGAGGCTGACAAAGCGATGATGGGACCCCCGCGGAAAATGCCGTCACGGCTTTCGGCGTCTAGGAATTCTAGTTATGACAAGGCCGAGCGGAGCTCTAGCGCACCGCCTAGTTAGTTCTTCTGACTGGATGAGACTTCCCTAACTTACTTTGACTTTACATAGCTAATCAGCCAAAAAATTGCGATTTAAATAATTCAATCGACTTGCTTTTTTCAATGTTGAAATCATTGCAGGAAGCTTCCAAAGAAATTGATTTGGTCAATACATGGAGATTCGACGACAATTTCAAATAAAGCAGTTTGATTTTTTTTTTTAAATCGCTTTTAATTATTTTTTTCTTCAGAAAAAACGTGAATTGCAAACGAATAAGCGTGGAAAAATACTCCGACTATCGACTACTACTGGAAATATTGATGTGAGGTTTTGAAGTTTTTAGTTTCAAAAATGTTATGATGAGAAAAAGGGAAGGCTTGACTTTATCAACACTGATGTTAGCCAGAAAAACATTGATCCGATATCATAGGCAAAGTCGAAAAGGGTGGAAAAGGAGCTTCATAGAAATTTTCTTTTAGGGTGACAAAGGCCTCTTTTTGTTGTTGTTGTTTTTTTTGCGCCATTTTCTCGGCTCATTTGCACCATTTTTCGCTGTCTCACCCTTTTTCCACCTTTTCTTGAGCCTTAAAAATCCCAGAAAAAAAAAGAAAGGTTTGATAAAGGGACTCTTTTTGCTGCCTTTTTGCTGCCTTTCTGCCGCCTTTTTTGAGACTCTCCTTTTTAGCGGCCATTATATATAGTTTTGACTTTGCCCGAGATATTTAAACATTTAAAAAAATTTGGTTGTTAGAAACTCTCACGCCGGATTCGGCGGTTTTATTAAGGTTGTACAAATTTTTATCGCGATCGCGATAAATAATCGAATATGATTCAAGGCAGACACTCTGGCTGCGGAAAAATAATATACATTTACGAGCAGCTCTTTTTAATTCAATTTTTGTATTTATATCTTTTCTTCCGCATTTGAAAGCCTTTTATCTTTCAAAATTCAGTTAATCGCAATGACGTTTTCGAACTAGATTCAATGCGGACAGAGTTGGATCAACTGCGAAGCCGGCTAGAAAATACCAGGTACCATCCCAATGCTCATAAAAGCAGCTGAGGGTTTTTTATTTTGTGTTAAATTGAAAAGAAGAAAGGGAATAGCAGTAAATTCACAATGGCAAAAATTGCTTCTCACTAGTACAAAGAATTATTCATTCGTTTATTCAAAACACCTTATCAAAACAGGCTTGTGAGAGCCACACCAGTTCAGACCTACAGGGACCCGTCCGGTTTGCACTACGCCGTCTCCGCTGGCCATACTAGACCATTTTGGATAATTTTTTCTGTTTATTAAAATGGACACATTTATTTCCGACAATAATAGATAAATCTTAGATCGTACAAAAAACTCGTTATTAACGAAGATATCGCCCAAAAACCGCTATTGGTATATAAACAATTTAAACATACAGTGTGCCAAACCGGACGGGCTGAACAGATGTGAGAGGTCCAGATTGTCAACCTATCGGCCAACATTCATTTCCATAACTTTTGATGATATTTAATGACTAATTTAATGAAAAGTAATTTTTTGGTAAACATTTTGGGTCAAGTTAAAATTTTTTGGTTCAAGTTTGAAAATTTTGTGTCGAAGCCTGGCTCGGTCCGAGCCCGCCCAAGCTTCATTGCGTGGAAAATTTTTAGTGGCCACTCTCGAGGCTCGCCGAGGACTACTTGGAGAGGACACTAAAGTGGCCACTAAACCCACCTCCATAGTGGCCACTATTTTCCGTTTTAGTGGCCACCTCGCATGCTGAGCAGGTGTCTCAGCGAGTGTACCCGTATTGAACCCATGTTTCTGACTAGTGAGGTTATTTTAGTCTCAGTTGGGGGAACAACGGGTGTAAGAAAAATATGTAACCCAGCTGTGCTAAAGCGGGGTCTCAGTTGGGCTAAAAATTGCCAAAAGTTCTACCAACTGTGCTTATATGGGTTTAATACGGGGGCACCCGCTGAGACCCCGTGTTAGCACGGCTGGGTTACCCCGCTCAGCATTCGAGATTAAAGAAGTTCTCTATTTAATGGCCACTTCAGTAGTTTTTCATCCAGCATTCTTTCCAGTAACTCTGATCAATTTCAATTTCAATTTGTTCATTTTTTCGCAACATCGGGATGGTATGGTGATGTTGCAGGGAGGGAAAAAGACCACTAGGTGGATTAACTAACCCCACCTGTGAAGAAAAAAAAAGGTTTTTTGTGTAAGAAAAGAAACATAGAACCATAATAAGTAGATATTTAAAACCAAGTTGATCATGGCACAAATCTGTGAACACTTGAAAGAATATGCTCGACGCCCACATTCTCTGCATACACTAAAAACAAGTCCTTAAATTTTTTCTTGTCTTCCTCTGCCAATAATTCATGTTCAATGTCATTCCAAACATTAGTAATGCGATGTGATAAGAAATTGAAGAAAACCAGTGAAGGTTTCGTTTTTATTAATTTAAAACCATTTCCTCTGAGCTGACTGGGACGGTCAAAGATGTTATGTACCTGGACGGGAGAGTCTGACCAGCACTTATTATGCAAAAACTGATGTGATAACACCAGATCCTTAACTAAACGCCTAAACCAAAGAGGTTGAAGACCTAAAAGTTTTAACCGTTCATTATATTCCATTCTTGGGAAAAGGCGCTTCGTGAAACGCCTCTGGACCGATTCTAATCGATCAATATCTGACTTTGTCAATGGACACATTAGTTCCGAACCATACTCTAGAATGGGAAGTACCTTGGCCGTATAGCATGTCAAGAAGTTTTGTTTCGAGAAGCTAAAACAGCGGAAAGGTTGTTTATAATACGCATAGTTTTTTTTACGATTACTTCAATATTATTATGCATTTTGAGGTTAGATGAAAAAATAACTCCGAGATCTTTCACACAATCCTCGTTATTCACTGTTGTACCATTAAGCTCGTAACTCGCAACACTTCGAACTCGTTTCCCATAACTAACATGTAGACTTTTATTTGCTGAAAGTATGAGTTGTCTATCTGCAAGAAAATTTTCAATAGAATGAAGATCCTCTTTTAGCTTGTTTTGATATCCTGGAACAGAACTGCTAATCATTACTTTGCAATCATCCGCGTAAATCAACAGTTTACTATATTTAAGTGCTTTATCCAAATCGTTAATGTAAACAAGAAACATTGATCCATTGGCCCCTAAAGTGGCCATTTTTTTTGTGGTCTAGTAGTAGCACTTAGACCTCTAAAGTGGCCACTAATTTTTAACCCCTTAAGTGGCCACTAATATGACAAAAGAAGGTCTCGCCGTGTTTTTTGACTACTATAGTAGCCACTAAAACGTCAAAACCTTATAGTGGCCACTAAAAATTTTTCCAGGAAGTGAAAAATAGCTCAGTGAACATAAAGTCTGTTCAGATTTTGAATGTCAAGTCGTCGCTCAAGCCCCGCTCCCTAATGGCGCGATAAACCAATCAGAGAGCGAGCCATCCACAGAGCGTTTTCGAATGACGTCATTCTACTTGACATTCAAAATCTGAACAGAATACAGGGTGACAAGTAAATATTGAAACGCGTTTGAAACGTTATAACTTTCTCAAAAGTCAACCAAACACCACCAAACTTGATACAAATTTTATTCATACAATATAGAAACAAAATTCAAGAATAGTTTTCAAAACGTCCTCCTTTAGCATTGATAACGGCCTTCAGTCTCTTCGGATACGCATCGATCACGGCACGAAGGTAGTCGTCGTCGATTTCGTCCCATTTCTTGATGAGCGCGGTCTTCAGAGCTTTGATACTTGGGTAGTTCTTAGAAGAGACCTTCTCGGTCAGATATATCCACACGGCATAGTCCATCGGGTTGAGGTCGGGCGAGGAAGCAGGCCAATCAGCAGCCGAGATGAACTCGGAAAATTGGCGCGATACCACTCTTGAGTCCCTTTGGCGCGGGGGCGGGGGCGCCGTCTTGCTGGAAGGTCCATGGTCGGTTTCCGTAGTGAGAATTGGCTCAGAGCAACACCCTCAACTTTAAAATCTACTCCCTGTAGTATACTTGGTTCACTTTGACTCCAGGATCCACAAAAATCAGCGGAGTTTTGCCGTCAGCGGTAATTCCGGCAAAAACCATCACGGAAGCCGGATGCGAAGTTTTATTCAGAATTTTTTCTTTTTCACAGGCACTCTGATAGTCAGTAGCGATGATCCGATGATTTTGGCCGTTCTTGTTCGCCTCCATAGTGAAGATTTTCTCGTCGGTAAATAGCGTCGTCAGATGCGAGCCATCTTTCGTGCCAGCGAGCAGCTTTCAAGCCTTTTTCATCGGCAATGTCTTGTTTTTTTGATTGAGGAAGGCTCCTTTCTGCATACGGTAGGGAATCATCTTCAGCTTGTCCTTGACAATAGTTTTCATCGATCCTTGACTCATTTCGTATTTTTTTGCCATCTTTCTCATGCTTCTTTCCGGTGTGCGTCTGATTTTCTCTCGAACGGCTTTGACTGCTTCTGGAGTCGTGACGGTGACTGGACGTCCACTTATTTGCATAGTCTTCCGGGAGCTCTGTTTTTTTAGGGCTTTTTTTTCGATTTGGGTCTCAATTCGTTAAACGGTGTTTTTCTATTTTCTGATAGGGAAACAATATAGAAGTCGTGACTTGTAGATGACTGCAAAGACATCTATTGAGAATTGAAACTTTTAAGCTTTATTTCTAGAGCACTTCATCGTGATCTCGATCAGCTCAATCTTCGGCGGGTTCAGTACAGAAAGAAGAAGCGTGTTGCCATAAATTTCCCGGTGGACAGCTGCTCAGACTCATTGTAATGGCCTGGCTGACCCTGGATGCGCACTCTCGTCGTCGACTCGGATGGTGTCAATCGTCCTTTTTCTTTCCTTCTTGACCTTTTCTGGAGCGCAGAGATGTTCCATCCGACCATATGAAGCCAAAGGCGAACGCAAGGCTGGCAGTAACGGCTACGTCATCGAGGTATCTTTATTTTCTGCATAGATTTTGACCATTTTCGTTCTTTTTTTTCTTTTGAGTATATTCCTTATCAACGGAAACTCTGATTTATTTAAACCTTTCAATTTATCTGCTTTGGAGTTGAAATACACACGCCAACATTCCAGTAGGCTTAATTCTCTTAAATCTCTGGTTTCCGAAGACAACATCGGTGTTGTTCTTGTTCAGAATTATTCATCTCTTTTCCTTTTTGCGTTCTAATTCAGAAAATTAAGCTTGGTTCAAAAAATAATCTACTTGGGTTAATCTTTTTAGACTGCAAAATGTTCAGTTAGAAAATAATCAATTCTCTTGAAGTAAGACGACTTTCTGTTCTCTACAACTCTCCTATGTTTTCAGATCTCTTCAACAAAGTCAAGAGGAAACACGTCAAATGGATTCATCCCAGGAGAAAACTATCAAAGTGAATGATCTTAATGCTTCTTTTTATCATGTTGCGTGGTTTCAGTTTCCTTGCGCGGATGGAGGACGGAATACACTGTTCAGACCTTTCGAGGATTTATCCTCGCGGCTCAGTTCGAAGACAATTCTCCCGCAGGTTCCTTCCAAGTACTATCTCCTCCATTGTTTCAGTACTCGTTTGATCTTCTTTTTGAGGTCGTTGGCCACAAAGACGCTAGGGTCTCCCCGATTTGTCCCGCCGGTGGCGTCAGCCACAAGTCGATGAGCTCGAAGACCTCTGTTCATATCACTTGGAAAGCCCCTGAAGTCTGTCTTGAAATCAAATGTTTTCTTCCGTTTGTTATGCTTTATTTAAGAAGAATCTTATGTTTTGAGGTTGCGAAAGGTTGCGTGATGTTCCGTGCATCGGTCATAGAAAAGAAAAACTTGTGGTTCTCAGAAGAAGAAGAGCTGACCAAAAGATTCTGCCCAGAAGGTGAGACTTTGAAAAGGCACACGAATTGTTCAAAATAACTCCAGAAGGAAAAAGAAAGGTCCAGCCATTGGACGACCCCAGCGCAACTTGCTGCGCTTGTGACGTCGCCAACTACGAGCTGGAGTTCGTGGGAATCTGGAGCCGTCACACACACCCGAAAGACTATCCAACCCGTCAGTCAGACTTCCAATTCTTCATCATCTCAGCGTTCAGTCGAGCATTTGACTCACTTCACGGACATGGTGGGCGCCTCTCACTCCTCCAACTACACTTTGTGGAAGATCGGCGAGGCTTCGACCGACGGAATGAAGGAAATCGCCGAGTGGGGCAACACCTACAAAGCTGAAGTGGAGATTAAAGCAAAGGTTTGGAGTTGCTCCTTCCGTCTGAAACACCGTCGATTCCAGGCCTCCGAAGTGCGCAGTCTGATGAAGATCAAAGGTCTTTGGTATCCAGAAGTGCAAGGAACGACAAAGTCGCAATTTGTCGTCAACAAGTCAGAAAAAATAATCGAAAAGTAGTTTTTCCTCTATAGATACCACCACTTTGTTTCCTTGGCGACGATGTTCGGTCCATCTCCCGACTGGTGCGTCGGAGTTTCTTCTGTGAACCTCTGTCTGCCGGATTGTTCCTGGGTCGAAGAACGCGTATTTCTTCTACAGCCGTTCGACGCCGGCACTGACTCTGGACCTACTTTCATGGTGAGAATTTTCATAGCTCATTAGCTACTGCTTAATATTTCTTCGACCTCATTAGTTTATTAAGATTAATTAGTTTACATCTCATATTCCTTTTCAAAGGATGAGGATTTTTCAACGGATTCAAAGAACTTCAAAACACTGTAGTCTGAGCACACTGAAATATACATACATATTCAGTCGCCTAACTCGCCCTCAGAGCCACGTCAACCAGTACATTGGATCACGACCAAGCTGGACCCTCTGTCGCCATTTTACGACCCTACAACCGACGAAATCCCTCCAATGGCCCGACTAACTCTCCGTCGTAAGCAGGTATCCGCTAAGTTTGATAATCGACTGTCGAACCTGCAAATCTCAGACAACAGAAACGACCTGTAAGACTGACGACGAGTACCGCGCCGAGGCCAACAACATCACGAGCACGAGCGAAGACGACGAATACAAAGACAGAAGTGAGAGGGACGCGAAACTGGAAGACGACTCTGTTTTGAGGGGAGTGCATGATGACGCAGTGGGAGTCGTGGTCGCTGTGCTCGGCGACGTGCGGCAAAGGAATCCGCATCCGAAACCGCGTCTACGTGTTTCCAGTCAAGGCGCAGGTCTTCCACTGCCACCGACAGACCACAGAAAAACAGTTTTGCAACGCAAAAGTCAACGAATGTGCAGGTGAGAGGCGGATATAATCAAGGGATTTCTAATGGCGTTCAGACTCGGAGGCGTTCAACTCGAAGTGCTCCGTGGGATCCTGGTCTGCCTGGGGCGAGTGCAGCGTCACCTGCGGCCATGGTTCGCGCAGTCGCAAAAGGTTTCGATCCGATGAATAAATTAAGTTGAAAGACCTTTCATTTTATGTATAAAGAGGAACAGTCGATTTGAAATTGCCTAAAATTATTTACTTTCGAAGAAATGAGCATTACACTTTTAAAAAATTGAACTACTGCGAGAAAAATTGCATCGGGAAGCTCTCAACCCTTCTAATTTTCCTCATAGTATTTTTTCTCAAAGTTCACTAAGTAGTGTTAATTTTTCTGTATATACAGTATATCGATCAGAATTTTGTAATGGACTTTTTTTCTGAGAATCGTAAAATGAGGAAGGAAATGGTGTTGAAAAAAATAACAAAACAATGAAAATGAATAAAAAAATTTTTTTGGGGAAGTTTTTTTACTTTTTAAAAAGTTAAACTTTTTTCTGCTCAATACTTTTTTTCATTTCACACTGAAAAGTTATTAAAACCTCAAAATTTTCAACTAAATAGAATAAAAAGATTCGCTGTACAGTTTTTTTGTAGCTGAGCATTTCCACAAAAAAGAGGTTTATTATTTGTCGTTTGTTTCCAATTTGACAACTATTAGCCTAGATCGTTCCTCAACCCATCGACGAAGGAAGAAGACTGTAACGTCGAACTGGAACGCTACGACATCTGTGTCGGTAGGTGTGCAGCGACGGATCTTGCGGAAGCTTCGCATCTTTCTCAGGCGAGAACGGAGAAGACTGCAGCGCGACGCCAGACCCGCTGTGCAGGACGACGGCCTGGAGCGACTGGTCGCCGTGCAGCGCCTCCTGCGACGACGGCGTCCGCGTCAGAACTCGGCTCTTCTTCTACGTTGAGCACGAACACGTAGGCTTCACGAAGACCTCGTCTTTTGATTTCTCGGAACTCAGCGCTGCACCAACGTCAACTTGCAAGAGAAGGAAAACTGTGTGATGCAATCGTGTCGACGCTTCATCGAAATCAATTCTGACGGTCGGAATCTTTGTCCTTTTTCAAACTTTTCACAAGATAGGTTATTTTAGCGGAAGTTTTCGTTGTCTGAAAGTTTTTGAAAATCTCCTTGGTTTTGAAAATCTCCTTGGTATGGTGACCCTTATTCAAAGTTACTGACTGTACAAACTTTACGTTTCGATGATGTGAGTCTGAGTAAAAAAAAGACTTCTCGCCAACATTGGATCACATTAGCAAAGGATTGCCAAACTTGCAAAATTTATTAGCCCGGATTCAGGAAATTTCTGTAACTAGCAAGATCTATAAATGAACTGCAAGGAGTTCTGAAAAAAATTCCCTTCCAAAGCCGCTGTTTTTCAGAGATCTGCCAAGAGGAAAAAGCTGTCGGCCAGTGCGGAGGAAACTTTCCTCGCTACTGGTACAGCAATGAAACTCAACGATGCGAGAGGTTCATCTACACCGGCTGCAAGGTAATAATCATATGTTCCACTTCTTGAGCTTTGTCTGTAGGGAAACCGGAATCAGTTCGAAACTGAAGAAGGATGCAAACAAGCCTGCTACGCCGGCTACGAAAAAGACAAAGCCTTGAGTAAGACCATTGTTTGAGCTCTGATCAAGTCGACTTTCAGTTCCCAATCATCAACTTTTCGAGGAGTTTGGCGACAAGGAGATCAATGACGGAGGTACAGCTCAGAATAAAAAAGTGGTGACCCAATAAGACCCTTAAGGCGCCCCTGTATCGTGCAAGATAAGCGAGTGGACGCCCTGGGGAAGCTGCTCGGTGACGTGTGGTCGCGGCAAAAAGATCCGCTCGCGGCAGATCGTCAAACTGCCGCGCAACGGCGGCACCAAATGCCCCGAACATCTTATTCAGGAGCTCCGGTGCCAGTTGCGTCCTTGTCGTAAGGCTTTTCGGATGAAAAGAAAAGATTTTGGAGTTTTGAAGCTATTTCGGCATGCCAGACAGGTCCATGGTCTCGCTGGTCTGCATGCTCGGTGACTTGCGGGCAAGGAAATCAGCTCAGGAGAAGACGTGTTATGAGGTATGCGGAAGTCTTGAAAAGCTGTTGAGCTATGCCTTGGTGGAGATGATCAGATCTTAGAACTTCCACAAGGGCAAGAAATAATCTTGTTTAAAGTTGCGCCCAGATATTTTTTTACGACAGAATACTTTTTTCAGGCTTTTATGGAAAACTTTGATGTAAAGTTAAAATATTTAAATTTTAAGAGGACGGAACGGCGATTGGGAAGAAAACGAGTGCAAAGAAGCAGAGAGCGAGTCACGCGAATGTTTCGGGAGATATTCCTGTTGACAAAATTATATTATTTTGAAAAATCATATCTGAGAGAAAAATTTTTCAAATAAAGCGCAATAAAAATTGCCGTTTATGATTGAAGAGACACATATTCTATATGGATGGGGCAATCGATAGGTAATAAATTAAGGTAGAAAAGTACAGAGATTCGAAAAAGTCGCATTAAATACACTAAAATAACAGATAACAAGCTCGGAATGAGAGCGGGGCTTATATTTGATATCAGGCAGCCATCAATGACATATTATTGGTGAGGAGTTTCTTAAGAAAAGAAGGTCAATTTGAGATCGCAAGTTTCTATTCATCTTCGGAATACTGGGAGATTTAATCGAATGGTACTCATAAAATAGAAAAACCGATGGGACCGGACATTAACATAAACATAAATCAAAAACTAAATTAGCATATACTTTCTTTTGGGTTTGGAAAAAGGAGAGGAATTCAGTGGGTGACGGTGGGGGTCGGCTCGGAAGGCTTCTGATCGTTCTCCGAGGTGCGTGCGGCGACGGTCACCTGCTGCCAGTGGTCGTAGTGCAGGTGAGAGGACGTCGTCGCCGAGTGAGGATGCTCGAGTCTCCACACTTTGTAGCTGAACACATCATTGTTTATGGGCTGCTACAACAAGAAAGGGTTTTCTAATTTGACTTTGAGCTTCATCGGAACGAATCATAACGACAGGAAGCAGTTGAATGCATCCGCTATTCATTCTATTTCATTTAAAAAAACCATTAAGTTAACACTGCTCCGTTCATGTACATTTGGTACACCACGGAGCCTTACGATCCGTCGATTCTTTAAAACTAGAATTATCATGCAAGCCTTTCAGAGCTCCCATTAAATGTATCATGTGAATTTCGAAAAGTCTCAAAGACAGTCAACGTTTCTTGTCAGTGGTTTTGGTGATTGACTCCTAAGTTCATAGTCGTAGTCGGAAAGAAAAATGAAAATTATTATGAGAGCGAAATTAAATTGAATGAAATCTGGAGCCAGAAGAGACTGAAAAGGGAGGGAAATGTTCAAAATTTTTTTACCTTGAGATCTAATTACACTCACAGCGTGAAAAATTTTTCGAGACATTTTCTGGCTTCGAAGGTCGGGCCGATTCTTACATTTTCTACACTTTCGGCGTAAATTATTGGAAAGGTTCAAAATGTCTTTGAAAAATTAGTAAGAAGCGAAACAAACTCGATCGTGAGCTTCCATCTGTAGTAGTGCTCGACAATTTCGCCCACGTGTCGATAGGGAAACTGTAATTGATCCATAAAATGAAAAAATTAAAATAATTTCATTATTCGAATGATCGATATTCTAAAAAAAAAGCCGTGAAACAGTCAAATGCCGTTTTTTGAGGAAAATGAAACGAAGAAATATAAAGAAGAGAGACGAACAACGTGACGACGGATGGTAGAGAAGTCTTTGCCGAACTGCTCCAACGACTTTTCGAACAGTTTGCACTCGTTCTCGTCCCAAGCAAGCGCGTCACTTCGAACGGAACGGACGGGGGCGTTTACGCAAGGGAAAGGAAATGCTTCCTGAAGTAATTGACTCTTTCTTCATGAAGAAGAAAACAAATGGTTCTGAATTGAAAAAATTCTCGATGAGAGCATTTAGAAACTCAAAACTATTCAGGTAAAAGTTATGTTCCCTAGTTGGTTTTTTCATAATATCTGCAGCAATGATGAATTTTCGCGGATGGTTCCGAAAATACAATTTATGCTGAACAACCAGCAAAGATCTTCGTTCATTAAAACATAATTCGAGAAGAAAAAAAAAAAAGATTGAAATGCGCAAATATTTCAAAGACAGTGGAATTGACAAATTCTCCATAAAAAGTCGATAATATCTTACTTTGGCTTTTTTAACGTCAAAGTCGTTACGCAACAAAGCGCACAATGCATCTTCATCATCACGATTCTGAAAAAAATTCAATTTCAAGTACGAACTTTTTTTAAATTTTTTAACAAACACGTCAAGACTCTAGACCTTATAAAAAAAATTTCAAAAGTTAGCAACTTGGCGAAAACTTAGTTATTCGTTTGAAGAACCTTACTAAAAATTCAAACATTTCTTTGAAATCGTCAGAAAACCTGCGCAAATTTTTCCGAAAAAAAGATTTTGAATGATAACATAAGGGAAATGATTTTTGTGCAAAGTAAGGAAAGACAGCTCCGTTTAATCCCCCTTTTTTTAAAGATTTTTTTAAAATTGTTTTTTTAAAAATTGAATATTCTGCTTTGGATTCAGTGATCCGACAGAAGACAGATAAAATGGAAAAAAGAGAGCATCTCACATTTAAAGACCGTCACAGCTTTCAAAATCACACTTTTCAGCCAAAAAGCCTGGACAAAAGCTGACAGACCCGGTTGGCCTTCTCAGGAAACGACTGTTCGTGCTCGATACGCAGAGCGACGACGTCTCGAAGATATTCGTCTATTTGATCGCTCGTCATCTTCTCGTTTCCCGGATTCGACCACAGTAGAAGAGCTTTCGCTTCGTCCGGCGTCAAGTAATTCGCTGCAAATTCACAATTCCACGAAATCTCTTTGAGAAATAGTTCAGTTTTCTTGTTCATTCCTATATTTTCTTTCATAATTTTCGTCTTCGCCCAAAATTCATATCGGAATAGTTTTCTTTCTTGATTTTGTTGTACTTGCTGTGAAAGGGCCTCATATCACTAGATATAAATATTGGAAAATTTGGTAAAGAATAATTTCATTTGGCTTAAAAACGGGAAAGTTCACCTTGTAATAAAACCGACCTTGATCATCTTTCGCCAGAAGATCAGGAATTTCCGCTTGGTACAATTCCGCATTCACACGCACCTGTAAAAAAGGTCTCAACCAGAAAAAAAGGTTGTTTTGGAGCAATTTCTTATATTCCGCTTCTCATTGAAAAGGAAAGAGGTCCCAAACGCTTTAAATTTCAAAAAACGCGAAAAATTATAGAGTCTTTTAAATTGATAAAAAATTCAACAATAAAAGTTTTCGATAGCTAATTTTTTTTTTCTGTTGCTCTTTTTCTCAACGATAAAAACCTGTCGTCTCCAGAGGTCGGGCGGAGCATAATCGCCATCTTCGTCTTCATTTCCACTCAAAGAGTTGGCCATTTCGTCCAGGTAGCTGAGTTCGTTGGGTAACGAAGAAGGCCCTTGGACATTGGTTTCTGAAGACGTCTGCAACAAACAAAACTGTTTTTGATCAATGTAAAATTCAATTTAGGTACATTTCGCATGTTAACTGAAGCTTGGGGGTTTCAATCTAATTCATTTTTAGTTAACGCATCTCTCTGATCATAACTGTTCCATGACTAATCTAAAAGTAACTGTTAAATAACGAACTGACATACTGAAAAAAAAGCTAGGTAAAAATTTTAAAAATTAACGATCCTACTTTTTCTAAAAAAAATGATAAGAATTATGAAACATTTGTATTTATTGAATGGGTGGTATGAAAAAAAGACCAGCGAAAATTCAAACGGCGACTTTTCCGATTTTTTCATATCGCTAGGGAACTTTCCGACGGCCACCTTTCCGCCAAATCCCTTTCCGACTTTTTTCCTTTATATTTTTCGGTTTATAAAACATCTATAAACATTTTTTTTTCCTATTTCTTTGTGTTTTAATCATGAACCAATTACCTACTTTATATAGGCTGTTTCAAAACGAAGAGTTTATCGAGAAAAAATGTCGGAAAAAGATTCGTCGGAAAGGTGGCCGTCGGAAAGTTCCCTAGCGATATGAAAAAATCGGAAAAGTCGCCATTCGAATTTTCGCTGGTCTTTGTTTCATACCACCATTGAATGAGAAGTTTAAAAAAAAGATTATTCCAACTTCACACATGAGAATGTTTTTTTTGTATTACTTTGCTGGAATAGACGTAATTAAGTGAAACCTGCGGAGCGTCTTTATAATCTCCGTTGTCACATTCGTCACCAACTCCATATTTTCTTCTGAGGTCTTCTAATGTCATTTCGCCTTCGTCTTCAAGGTCTAAGAAAGAAATATCGATAGCAAAACCAATAAACTTTAAAAACCTTTCAACTCATCGGCATAATCTTCTCCATCTTCGAGCAGTTCTTCTTCGTCGATGGTTGCTGAGAGAGACAGTTATTATTTTTATTACAAGATGAGATTTCTATTTTTAAACGTGAAAATAGGTTCACTAAAAAAACCTTCACAATCTTCGCCGTCCTCCAAATTTTCGTCAAATTCTTCGTCGTCCCCGATCGAAGATCTTGAGAACTCTTCTTCCATCGTAGCCAGTTTCTGAAAAAAATTGAGCTATCACGAAGGTTAAAAGGAAAGATTGAAGAAGAAATGAAAAAAATAACAAAAAAATGTGGCAAACACAGGAGCATGTTAGTTTTTTTATTCTTGCTAGCATTTAAAAAAAGTTAAATTTGTGGTACAAGCACAATGATCATGATTTTTGACATTTTTGAAAAAAACTTATTCCAATAAATGTTTGAAAGAAGAACTGAATAAAAAAATTAATTCTCAAACTTTGATTTGTTAACAACTTCAAATAAAAATTTTTTAAATAAAGTTTGGATGCTCTACCGAGGAATAAAAAAACTTTTTGGAAAAAGTAGGACTTTAAATTGATGAAAAAAATTCCGAAACTTACTGAAAATAAAAAAATTAGCAACGCACGAATATAAATTTTAGTAAGTTTTTGAAGCGAGGTGGACTGAATAGGTTTTTTTCTATTATGAAAAAAATTGCTTTTTCACTTTTTTTACTTACTATTTTTTTAGGTTGCTAAGAAATGATATATTTTAAAATTGAACTTATCGGAGAAGAACGGCTAAGATTAGGTTAAGAGCGAATGGATATGCACGTCGTGCACCATTTGGAAAACCGGCGCGTAAAAGGGCGTCGTCCAACGCTCCGCCCTTTTTGAAAATCCCGTGCCGCGTTGAAATTACTTTCGCGGAGGTAAAATTTAAAGAAATTCAATAATTTGTAGTAAAATTTTCTTTAATTCTTGCGATGAGTCAAATATGTTTATTTCAAACTTCATTAGAAAAGTTAGTTTGTTTCGAGCTTCATAATTAAAATTAGTTCTCGGCTGGCGTGTTTGGAGACTATAACTGAACTAAATAAGCGAGTCCAGCAACGACGAATTGCAAATTATTGATAAATTCTCAATAGCTTGTGAAGCACCGCCGACTTGCGACAAATTTCAATGCGGCTTCTACATGATTAGCTGAGTGTCTCTGCAGCCCTTTTTCTGAAGATAACTGGGACTGGAGTGTGCCACCACAAGAAACCTTCCCAACTAAACTTGACACTGTGAAGCGACTGATCTCTCAGACTTCAGAATAACTTCACATTCAATTCGCCAAGCTGAGGGATGAAAAATGTGAGATATTTATTCGTAACTTCGCAAAAATACTCGTTTAATCCGTGTGGTGAGAAGGGGTCAATTTTTGTAATAACAATGAAATCAACAATAAATGAAAGAAACAGCAATTTTCAAAGAAAAAGTTGGATATTTAGGCGGGGATCAAAGTGGAAAAAAGTTGGCGTGGGGCAGCGAAAGAGGAATTGACGTTGATCGGCTGTGCAGACCTGGTAGATTTCGTGTCGAAATCCATCAGTTGCTGAAGCGACTCGTCTGCTTCGACTTCCGCTGCAACGGCTTCATCTAAAATTTTTTTGATATGTGGGTTAATAAGGCTGTGAGTGTGATCACCATTAATCGATATTTCCTTGATGAGTTCTTGAGCGCTCGTCAAGATCTCGCACTGAATGTTGGCTCTAATGAGCTGTTGGAGGAGTTCTCGCAAAGAACGAATCACACACAGAATCTGAAAAGTTTTTTTTTTCGAAATCTATCAATCTCATTTGACTTTCTTCGAACTTGCACGAGATACAGGAAACAGACCTTTTCTGATTGCTTCTTCCACTTGGTGTTCGTGCACATTTGCTTGCAAACGTGAAGAGCGAGGTCCAAAGTTGTTGCATAAATGTGCGCCGATGTTCCTGGCCTGAAGAAAAAAACTGATTATCAGTGAATTTCAACTTTAGACAAACTTTTTCACTGTTGCTGGCTCTATGAACACTTGTTTAGGTGGCTTGGTGAAAATCGGAAGTTGAGAGATGATCTGAATGAGAATGAGCGCATGGAAGAAGATGAGAACCATTATCAACCTCGACCAGTGATAACTCTGAAAGGGCGTTCCATCCGTGTTCAGTTTTGGCAAAACGAGCAAAGGAAATCTGTAACAGAATAGAGAACTTTTCAAACCAAATAAAAACAGACTTCGAGGTGAGATAAAGTAAAAAATTTTAAAAAAAGTATTTTTCTCTGACGAAAAAGATATTTTTTACTCATAAATACAAATAATTTTTTCGGTAAAATTTGCGTGACGTTTATTCGTTTCACCTAATCATACTGAAATGCACTCGGTTTCATTGCAAGGCAGAAGATACTAACTAGAACGGAAGTGAGAAGATGGTACTGGCCGAGACACTCGCGTCTCTGTAGGTTCTGAGTCCTCGCAGTGGCGACCTCGCTCCAGTCGAAATCGACGGACACCAGCAACTCACAGAGCAGCCGCGGGATCCCACACTTGGACATGGTCGACGACAACTTAGAGCCTTCACTATTTAGTGTATCTACCAGCGAACTTACTCTTTTTGAGCCTTTCAAGTCTTCGTGCAGCAAGTCACTGGCCAGTAGGATCGGAATTGTCTGAAAGCTCCATTCATAAATCCTAGATAGCAAGTGTGAGTGTTTTTGTTAAGGAGTTTAAAAAGAGCGTCTAGCGCATCCCACGGGAGCCAAGTGGCCTTGTGCTTCTCACTTCCCCCTCTGTTTCACCCAGCCAACGTCTTTCATTCATATCCGAAAGTCGCCAATTCCTTCCATTTGCCGCACGCTCACCCCATTCTCCTTCTGATACTAAAACTATGACTTTCTATTTTATAAACTAACTTCAATTATATATGTCCTTATTATGTTATGCAAGTTGGGCTGCATTAATTTCTGTCTAGAAACCAAAAGAATCTACCATAAATTTCGGTACGTCTTACAACAGTAAAAATACTTTTTCTTTCAAACCTCCAGGCTAAACCATGTTCTACTCATTGTGTGCTACACATTCTTCATATTCGCATCGGCAACGATTTTCAACCACGTGGAAGAGCGACACAGCGGGGTCTACCATGAAAGATGGAAGAAAAAGATCGAAAATGGTCGAGCCAGGTTTAAATTCCTTCCCTTAAAAGCTCAAGATACAACAGATTTGTGGCGAACGATCTCTTTCCCAAAATTTTCAACAACAGTCATTTGCTTCTCTACGTCAATAAAGAGAAGTCCAAGTACTTACATCAAACTTTTGACATGAGGATCGAAACTTATGAAAAGTATTTGCAACTTCGTCCGCCCATGCCTCCGTTCGCCGTCAACTTTCGGAATTCACTTCTATTTGTAAGCCAGAAAAATTCAACGGTTGAATTTCAATTCTTTTTTTCCAAGGTGCTCTCCACAGTGACGACAATCGGATACGGGTATATCTATCCGGTAACGAGGGCCGGGAGAGTTGTTAGTATGTTCATCGCATTCTGTGGGATCCCATTCACGATTGTTCTTCTCAAAGACATATCTTATTTGCTGGCCGTGCTCCTCCACTTTCCTTGTCGACTTTTAGGTAAACTCATTAATTTTCAAAATTCACAAAAAACCCTTATTTGTAAGCCTATCAAGTTATGCGTTACCGCAATAGATGCCGCCTACCGATAAGAGTATCCATACATCAAGCGCGCGACGAATTCCCCTGGTACTGAAACCAACGAGATTTTCATATGTCTACGGAGCACCTCTGCTGTCTTTTATGCATCATAAATGCATCTTTGATGAAACTCCAGGATTACACATTTAGAACTATACTAAAAAACCACACTAAAGTGAATTTTTCATTTCCAACTTTTAATTAACATATACCAACATACGAAATTTCTGGATATTTGAAAAATTGATATTCGTGCGGTCTCATACCATTTTTCAACTGTAAATAATAAAAATCCTTGTTCTAGAAGTGATATGGACAGTATTTCGCTTCTGCACATTGAGGCCTGTTCGCGAAAGCGACCTCGAAAAGAAATTACACGAAGGACGACCTGAAGATGGCAGAGATTACCGCCTGGAAAACGCCGATCGGCTTCTCTCTATTCCAGTAGATGATTCCGAAGATTTACAATTTACACGAGATCCAGGTAACTGTAGCAGTATTGGCCATAGTCGGTTGGATAAGTATTGGCTGCGTTCTTCTTCACATATCCTACGAGCTGCCTCTTTCTGAATGCTTGTTTGTCGTATTCAATTCTCTAGCAACCATTGGAGTCGACGGCGTTGAAATACCAGGTTTTCATTCTCAGAATCATCAAAACAAATTTCATCAAAGAGCCGGATACGAGAGAGCTAATTTTTATATACACCTATCTGATAATCGGGCTATCGACAATAAACCTTTTCATCAACCTTCTGCACACCAAGTTCAGCCGTGCTTATTGGATGCCCGGAAAGTTGTATCTCCCTCTGAGGTCGGGTCGGCAAAAAACCAGGGAACAACGCATTTTTAGACAAACGCAGGGATTCCTCTCAATGCGTCACACGGCAACGTTCGGAAGCTTTGAGGAAATGACTATGAGTGATGTACCAGTTAACCATATGGTAACGCTGGGAATTCTCCAAACTGATGTTATTTTAACACTGCGTCTTGTATAATGGGTTAATAATTTCAGGACAAATGTCCATTGATAGCGGTGATGAGCAAGGAAAAAGCTTTGCATGAAGTGTTCACTCAAACAGGAGAGGTAAGAGATATTCTACGTGACTTCAAATTACATAAAACACTACCCAATTTTATGTATTTCATTTGAATCGAACTCGTTTTACTTCTATCAAAAGGAAAGCTATTCAATCTGTAAGCCTAGAACTTCCCACAAACGTTTCAAACTTTATTTTTTATTATTTGTTAGATGAAGATAGTTAACTGCGCCACGGTTTTTCACTTGTGAGTATGAGATTCTGAAGTTGCGAGGTATAGGTTTCAGTCCTTCTTCATAAATAGTGATTGAAATGAATAAATATTATTAGCAACGCTCTCAAAGTTTACATCTTTAAAAAAAAGGTGTGAAAGGCTTTTGTTTGACTAAACTTATGAAAATTTTCAATCTTTGTAGTGAGTTCATTCTTCTTTTTCTACAGCCGTTTTTGTACAGCCTATGGTTATCTGAAACTGAAAAAAAAAGTAGGCTTGATTGAAAATAAAAAAAATTTTGACGTATCATGACTGCAATAAAAGTTCCAGTTCGTCGAAAGCAATGTATAACGGAGAATTTGAAAACTTCCGCTTGTTATTTTCAACTTTTGTTACGAAGAAGCCCGTTTTCAGAGCAACAACACTGGGATCAAAGCGTCGCGATCTTCGGACCAGACGAGTCCACCGCAGGTCAGACTTCCGTCCAGATACACCACATCTACTGAGAATGTGAACGAGCTCATCGTGGAAACCTACGGTCCGCGACCAGCCAGACTGATACGATAAAAAAGATCGCGGGAATAAAGCAGATTGATTATTGGAAAAAGGGAGCAGAAACGTAAAAGAAAACCTTCCGCAGCGGAGGGAAGTCGGTGATGCTCGTGGCAAGATGACGTGCCACGTCTTCGCTCATCGATTCGACAGAGTTGACGACGGCGTCAGCTGCGGCTCCGCTCTCCCGCTTTCCGTCCAGCACCCAGCCCACAGAGTCGATGGAGCTCTGAAAACCCTTCTCAGCTGGTTCACAGAGTTTTTACTCACATCTGTTTGAATGTTCTCAAAAACATTGCGCAGAAGGAGTCTCATCGTTCGGTAAATGCAAATCTGAGAAAAAACTATATATTTTTTATTTCTTTATTGTCAGAACAACGCAAATAATATATTTCGAGCTTCTTGGGTTCTAACCTTAGCGTCCACGTTTTTCTCCTTCGGCTGCAACAGAAGCTCTATAAGAGAAGTGAGCAGTGGAGCGATGAATTTGCGAAGTTCGGACGTCTGAAGAATTTACAGTTCTCATAATGCAAAATGATTTCATGAAAAAATTAGCCCATCGAAAATGTACATATTATTTCTCGTTCGAATGTCGCCACAGTTGCACAGTTGCACAGAAGATTCCTCTTTTCAAATTTCTCCAAGACAAAAAAAATAATGCTTAACCCTTCAAACGTCGGATTTTGTTGGATCTTGACTGCCAAACTTTCAAATTATCCGTATTCGACGAGAAGTCGATTTCTAAAGAGAAAAAAATTCCAAATTTTTTGGGTTCTCTTCCTCAATAGCTTTTAAAACTGAAGAATTGCTGACTAAAACCTCTCAAAAATTTTTGAAATACGAAGTCTTTACCATGTTTTCACCATATTTCAAAATAGCTCAATTATTTTTCCTCATTGTCTTTTAACCTGGTAACCACTCCTATTGGAGAAAAGTTGTACATTGATTTCTCTGACATCTTTTTTTTTTGGTCGAGAAGAAGCCTTCCTCTGTCGGGCAATGGTCAAATGGGTCAAACGCGCGCGAAGGATGCAAGAAGACAAGATTAAAAAATCGGGTCTGATCGAAAATATCACTGAGATAAGACCTACTTTCCTTCGCTAACAAGTTATGTTTGATAGGAACTTGCCTATAAAAGTTCTTTGGGAACTTACGACGCCATTCTCCAGTGTTTCTACAGCAGCCCCACAGAGAATGCAGTTACATACTGCAACCTTCGTCGCCTCTTCTCTGAGTGGCATCGCCCTCGTGTGCAGCTTTCTCGTACTGGGACAGATCTACAGCGATGTTCAAGGCTATTGGATGGAGCTCGACCTTGAGATGAACACTTTTAAGGTGATGCTTCGCAGAGTTTTGGAGTAATCAATGATAAGAAACTAAATAATAGATAACATCTCCAACTCGACTTCTTGAACATTTTCCAAATTCTGAATTCTAACAGACTGAAACCGACAACGTATGGAAAGAGTTAGTTCATATGGGCACAATCTACCGTACCCGCCGTGACGCTTACAACGCCTACAGCGAAGGAGGAGCTCCAGCTCATGACTTGGGAGCTCAGGCACCGTCTGGTCCTGTTCCAACTTCCGCCTGTCAGTGCCAGAGCGCTGCTGAGAACAAGTGCCACGCCGGACCAGCAGGACCAAAAGGTATTCAGTATTTATAAAACCCAAAAAAAGAATTTAAACAGGTTTGCCGGGTTCACCTGGACCCAATGGACAGCCTGGAATTGACGGCAAGCCTGGTGAGGATGCAATTGACGTCAGCCCCGAAGCACAAGACACCGGCATCTGCTTCTACTGTCCACCTGGACTTCCAGGAGCTCCAGGACCAAACGGAAGACCTGGTCCAAGAGGAATGAAAGGAGCTGATGGCGCTCAAGGAAGAACTGGTCGCGATGGAAACCCTGGACATCCAGGAGAAATGGGACCTCCTGGACCACCTGGACGTATTGGACCTGACGGCCGGCCAGGAGAGAAAGGAGCTGATGGAAGGAAGCCAATTGGACGGCCAGGACCGAAAGGTCAAAGAGGACCTCAAGGAGACGCTGGACCACAGGGAACTCCTGGAAAAGACGGCGGCGTCGGACCAGCAGGACCATCTGGAGGGCCAGGAGGAGCTGGACCACAAGGGCCAAAAGGAATCGACGGGCCACCAGGAGGAGAAGGAAGCTTGGGACGGCCAGGCCGCGATGCGTGAGTTATTTTGAAAGTTTTCAAGACAAAATATCTAAATTCAGAGAGTACTGCCACTGTCCAGCTCGAGGATCCCACGGAGCCAGGTCTCTGGTTCATTAAAAAGCACAAACTTTCGTTTTCAATAAAAATATTTCTCACCTTCATGTTTTGCGCCTTCGAGATACGACAAACGGTTCCTGTCAGCCTTTCCAGAGCCTCGCAAACAGCTGACAGAGAAACGCCACCCAAGCCGTCAGCCACTTCGATGAAAACGTAGCACGAGTCTCGCAGAATTTGAAGTTGTGTGTCTGCTGTGAAAAATGGGAACGGAGCGAAGACGGAGAAGACGTTGAGCAGGGCCGTGCAGCCGGAAATGATCCTTTCTGTGGCGCCGCTGGTTAGCAGATTGGCATTCAGCTTGGCACAATACTCCAGAATCGATTCCATTTCCTCAATTATTTCGCATAGAGCTTCTGGAGGGAAGTTTTGAGTACCTGCTGAAGATGTCGTGCATCCTCACAGTCACTGTGTACAGCTTCGATCTCCCGTCTCAACAAGCGATGGAGGAAATGAATGTCGTATTGAGAAACTCCGTAGACGGTCACAGTCAGGCAGGCTTCGAATAGCTTCAATTTGCCATATAACTTGTTTTTATTTCGAAGAATATGGTACTGCTTGAAGTTTTTGAACGTCGAAATGCATCAGTGGAGGGTAGAGGATCTCTGCCTCGCCTGAGACACAGCCATGGCGAAGAAGACTAAACAAAAAATTCTAGAAAGAAGTCATTGAAACGAACCTGAACAGAATATTCGAGTCTCCTTCTCCTTCTAGAGCTCCAGAAGACTGAGGCTCAAGCAAACATCGAAAGAAAACTTCCGGCTTTGAATAATGGCCTATTTAGACGTTTATAAATTCGAGTGAGAAGCTGCTCCACCTTGGGACGATAGAGAAGAAGATTCAAGCGCAGTGAAGTGGAGAATATAACCGATGATCATACGACGAACGGCGAAAGCGCTGTCCGAATAGGCGTTGTCAAAAATGGAATCCTAAAACTCAAGCTTGAGGAAACGAGAAAATTGGTTGATTTTCACCGCTGAGAAGAAATTTCTCATGAAAGGCGACGTTATGAGCCTTTCCACCAAATCTGATGAGCGCATCAAACAAAGGGCAGGCATCGCATATGGACACGAAACAGAGACCAATCTTTGCTGGAAACAAATGTTATTTCATTTTGAGTGATGAGGGAACAAACCATAAGTCTGAAACAAGGTTCCAACAGAGCAGAAAAAGGCAGTGACAGGGGATCTTTCGCGGCCACGAACTGCTCAATAATGTACAGAACGTGGTGCAGTCCTGTGACGGTTTCATCTGAAAAGTGTAATTGGAGAGTTTTCGCTCACAATGACGTTACCATTCGAATACAGTTGCTTCTCTTTCGCTTTGGAGACACGCAACGCGAGCAAGTAGTAACAGAGGTTCTGCGTCTTGGGTTCAGCATCCACAGCATCTCAAAAAGCTCTTTGATAACTAGTCTTTCTTTCAGTATCTTACCAGAAAGCGTCTCTAAAAGAATTCTGGCGGTTTCACCACGGGCATTCAGGATATTTTCTCCGTTCAAATCTGAAATCACGGTTACACTTATTACAAAAATATTAATGCTGAGTACGGTAGAGGATGACACTTGCGTTCACTCTGAGGGATTTCGAAGATTTAGAAAATATTCTTCGTTTGAGCTCCTATTGTAATACACTGCGTTCAATAAGGATAGGACCCCCCTCGATTTCGGACCTTCTGGCAAAATACGGAAAGATATCAAAAATCTGTAAATGCCATTCGATTCAGAGTACAAAACAACCCCCAGAGCCAAACTTTCATTATCATAGCACTTTTCCTACGAAAATGCCATCGAAAAAACGTTTTTTCGACCGTTCAATAAGGATAGGACTACCTGAAAATTTTGACTTCCATTGGTGGTTTTTGGTCAATTTCTTTTTTCGATGAGTGGTTTTTTTGTCCTCATATTTTCAATTTTTCTACGGTTTTGTTTTCATATCTTCCAGGTTTAAAACATATTTTATATCGAAAATAGGGAAAAATGACGTTTTTTTAGGTTGCATCATAATATTCGAGCGAATGAATTTTTTCAGTACTTTGAATGAACTTATCTTGTCAAAAGAGACATTTTAACATTTGGAAAAACAAAAAGAAGTTCGAAAAACATTTTTTTTAAAGTTAGAAAACCGGTTACAAGATGGTGTATCGTAACCAAATTTCAGGCTGTCGTCGTTTTCGACCGTTTCTCTTTCTGTATGTAGTCGGAATGGCGATGTACTTTTTTTAAAGGATTTGTGAAGGTACTATCAACATATTTCATCAACAAGATAATCTAAAAAAATTATATTTACCACGTACAATGTCGAGAAAAATGTGGAGAGAAATTGGTACCCGCGCTTATCGAAGGTATTGTTTCAAATAGAGCGTTTGGCGGGTTTTTTTAGTTTGTCAACAAAATAAAGCATTACTGAAAACGTGCAATAAAAACAATTTTTGATTAGAAATAAAACTTTTTTTATATGATTTATTTATACAGTACCGCAAAAAGTTCGAGTAGCAGTCGGAAGGGTGTTTATTCTTTTGATTTCCGAGGATCGCCAATTTTTATCCAATCCAACTAAGTGTCTTTTTGTGATGGGAGCACCTTCACAAATCCTTTAAAAAAAGTACATCGCTATTCCGACTACATAAGGAAAGATAAACGGTCGAAAACGAAGACAGTCTGAAATTCGGTCACGATACACCATCTTGTAACTGGTTTTCTAACTTTTAAACGAATGTTTTTCAAACTTCTTTTTGTTTTTCCAAATGTTAAAATGTCTCTTTTGATAAGGTAAGTTCATTCAAAGTACTGGAAAAATTCATTCGCTCGATTATTATGATGCAACCTAAAAAAACGTCATTTTTCCCTATTTTCGATATAAAATATGTTTTAAACCTGGAAGATATGAAAACAAAACCGTAGAAAAATTGAAAACAAATAATATGAGAACAAAAAAACCACTCATCGAAAAAAGAAATTGACCAAAAACCACCAATGGAAGTCAAAATTTCCAGGGGGTCCTATCCTTATTGAACGGTCGAAAAACCGTTTTTTCGATGGCATTTTCGTAGGAAAAGGGCTAGGATAATGAAAGTTTGGCTCTGGGGGTTGTTTTGTACTCTGAATCGAATGGCACTTACAGATTTTCGATATCTTTCCGTATTTTGCCAGAAGGTCCGAAATCGAGGGGGGTCCTATCCTTATTGAACGCAGTGTATAAATTACGGTTAATAACCTTTCTCGAGTAATTATTGAAGACCTCCGATGATCGTCGCTGCCTATTATCACGGAAAACTTATACTCAAGTAAATTTTTTTTTCTTCAAATATTCCAGATTTAGAGTTTTAGAATGGACAGGCCCAATCATTTTCAAAATGAAAAACTGAGCAGCAGAGCGACATGATCTGAGAGGGGGCTTTTACAAAGATGAGAGCCAATAAATCAATTTCTTCAAATGATAAAATAAGAGTTAAGTATGCTTCTACTCATGAAAAATTCATAACGCGATCGATTTTCGGAGTGAGTATCTCACCAAACATTTTCGATAAAAGCACCTTTGACCAACGAGTCCTCGAGGGTATATTGAATTGAAGCAGCACACAAGGCGGCTCGAAGGGCGCGTACGTGGACACCTGGAGAATTGCGAGCCCGAAGCAAATCTAGCAATGAGCGCTGAGATCCTGGAGCTAGAGTTGCTTCTCGGAGGATTTGGGCACAGCACAAACTGTGCAGAGGAAGTTCATCGGCCTGGAAATCGATTGAAGAGCTAGTTTTGCAGCTAATAGACCTGCTGCAGGTAGTGGAATATCACGTCGATCAGAGTGATTGGCTTGTTGCTGTGAAGGGTGGTGAAGGTTAGCGACTGGATCGAGGAAACGATCAGATCGGTTTCGCCTCCACGACAACATGTCCGCATGGAACCATGCAAGGTCACGGCTTCTTGAAAAAAAAACTTCCTTCTCTCATTACGCTCAAGGAGAAGCGGATCTAAGAAAATCCTCTTTACTAACTGGATATGATTTGAAGTGAAAGGAGAGCCGCATCTGCAGAATAACGGCGTCCATCTGAATAAGGATCGCTGTAGACGTCACAATCCTCCACCACAATACGGCACAACTGGAAAATAGCATATGAAGAAATGTTTTTTTTTAAAACGAGCTTTTTCAACGACACAAGGTTTAAAAGCTGAAAACCAAAGAAAAAAGAGAAACCGCTCGGAAAAGAGGAGTATCGTTGAGAATATGGGCCAAAACGACGACGTGCAGTTCATTTGCAAGAACAGACCGCCGTTCGACGATTCCATGCTCCAAAAGACGTTTTATGGCCGTGGCAGAAGCTTCAGCCAAGCTCCACTGAAAGCAGAAGTTGAAAAAGTGTGTTGGAGACGTGAAGCCACCATCTGCTTGACGTCATTGTAGCTTCTGGAGGAGAGCTGCGACAAGATCGACTTGGTGACGAATTGGACAAAAGCCGTGGCAAAGTCAGGAAGATATCTAGGAATCAACAAGATTATAAATATAACCATTATTTTCTCACTTATGCTTCAAAAGAGAAGAGACGAGACGCACAAACGCCAGCGAAACTTCATAATGCTTGGCGATGCATTCTCTTTCTTCCAGTTCTTGCTATAAGCATAACTTTTTGAAAGAATGATCACTTCAATTTTACAAAATATTACGAAAATTTAAAAAAAAATTTTTTTGGAGAGCCGGGCAAAAATTATTACAAGAAAAACTTCAGTTAACTGATCCCCTCTACTCTCATCTCTTTTTATTGAAACAGAAAAAAAAAGCGATTTTGATAAACTTTTTGCTGGATGGACTTATAAAAAGGGAAGTAAAAAAGGTGAAGTGTTGAAAATTTGATGAATGAATTTCTAAAAGTTTTTAGTCAATTTTGGATCAGATTCTAATTACACTTCTGAATACAGATCCGTTCAGACCATATGTGCAGCCCGTTTCTTTTTGTAAAAAAGGTCCTCCGAAATTTGCCGAAACGAAGGCGAGGTATGTTTCAGTACAAAAAGATTCTTGAGAAAGATTTTAAGAGGCATCACCCGCGAAAAGAGTCGTGTTGTGCACACCGTTTCCCCTGATCCGAAATCAAACGTTCAATATTTAAACTTTTTTCACATCCATTGTGAAAAAGGAGTTTCATTTTCAAATTGAACCACTAGAAAACAAAAAAAAAAATGATGAAAAACCTGAACGCCGAGCAACGCGCCGCTCTCGGAAAAGTAACAGAGTTGATGAGCATACAGCGAGTTCCAGACGCTGAACAGAACTTGAGGCCAGAAAGAGAGGGAAAATTACCGTTGAGCCACGCTTCTGATGGAAGCTAAGGAACCAAGCAAATTCAGAAGCTGCGCTTTCAAGGGAAGCGGCACCGGGGCGCTCGCGACGCGACACGCCGTGTCTATCACGCACCAACTCCGTTCTTCTGCCATTCTCAAGGCTGCCGCCTCATCCTAGAGAGGTTTCTCGATTGATCAGCTCAGTTTTTAACTGACCAGGCTGGCGACTTTCGTGGCGAGCCTCAGCCACGCGAGTAATCCGCTTAACTCGTCTCCAGGTATCGTCACTTTCTCGCCTTGCACTCTAAAAATAACATTTCCGTGGATAAAACCATGAAAAAAAAAACCGATAAATCTGATGAGACTGATTTTGATCCCGGAAGAGACGTTCATATGATCTCAGAGCTGCCATGAGAGAGTCCCAACCAAAAAATTCTAGAAAAAAAAAGTTTCACGAATGAAAAACAAGGAACCTGAGCCAGGAAACTCGCGGGAGAAAGTGTCGTAAAGAAAAGAAGCCGTCAGGGGATTCAAGCAGACGGCAGCGGCCAAGTCGAGGTAGGCTACGGCGTGTACGACGTGGTGGTGAAGTCGTGCTCGCTCCAGAAGCCGACAAAGTTCGATCTTCAAGACAAATAATTGTTTTGCGTAGAATGAAACAGTGTCACCGAGTGCTCTGTGCAGAAATCCACAGAACTTTTCGTGATTTGTTCACGCAGCCGCTTCTTCGCAGACGACGTGTCGTTCTCGAACAGCTTGTACAAATCGACAAAGCAGCGCAAGAAGTTCTCGTAGTGAAGCGTCGCCGAGGAGAGCTGGAAAAGATACGTTTCAGGAGAGTTTCCCAATCGAGCATCTCAATCGTTGAGCCGGATTTTTAATAATTGAAGTTCCTTCGTAATCGTATGTGTTCTTTCAACCTTTTGAATGCATAATATTTTTTTTAACTATCGAGAAGCTGTATCTACATACCTCACACCTTACATAATATTATTTACATCAACGTTGAAACTACCCAGATTATTGAAAGGATTATAAATTCACTGACATCTGGCATTTGTTGATGCAGAGGCTGTGGTAGAGTCTGTGGCTGGCCCGTGTGAGAAGGAGGCGCCGTCGTCGACTCTTCCGCCTTCTGGACGCCTTCGTCGAGCCAAACCAGTTCGTCTGCGCTGTTTCTCTCCGCTTCCATCAACTAAAAAAGACATTCTACTGGGTAAAAAACCTTCTGACTATACCTTCGCTGGAAAGAAACAAACGAGTTGTTTCAAAAGCTCATCAACGACGCAAAATTGATTAACGAACTTGAACTGCTCAGAACTGCAAGGAATTGTTTTGTTTGAAGCGGGAAAAAGCGAAAAACCCAATAACGGCGAAACGGATATACTGGAAAGCCATGTTGCGGACGGCTCGGTCAATTACGCGATCCACATCGACCTTGATCACGTCTATGCCTATAGATGGATGTCACAGCATAGAAAATGAAGTATAACCGAGGTGATCTGCGGGCGAAGCAGCCAGGGCCCGCAGTGAAACGGCGCAGGCCAGCTGGACGCTTCCACACATGGGCTGGTCGCTCCACGAGGTCTCGTCGCGGATTTGGGTCACCATGTTGTTCAGTATCGAACAAGTATCAGATGCTGGAGAAAAATGATCATATTTGATGTTTACACTATCAAAACCTTGCGTGAGCACTTCGCTCGACGTCAACTTCACCAGGGCGATCCACGCCGTCATGTTCACCGAGTTGAGCTTCTCCGAAACAGGTACGGACTGAGATAAAGACAGTGGAAAACTATGAGAGAGAAAAGAAAAAACTTTGACAATTTGGAAGAGTGTGTTTGAAAAGGACAAGGCATGACTGCCTGGGTTGTGGCACAATAAAACCGTGCAATCGGAAATCGCTTGTCGGATTTCTTCTATGACGTTGCGTAGCTGAAAACAGTTTTCCGTAATTAATTTGAATGGAAATATCAAGGGAAAGAAGGCACACCAATTTCTGATGTTTGCTGCCACCAAGGCCGTTGACGTTGGGCTGCATCAGGCGGTTGAACTCGCTCTGGACGCTGAACGAGCTGTGAAGCCCTGAAAAATATGGAGAGAAGAAATTTTGAAAAACTGAAAAAGATACCCAAAAGGTGGGTCAGAACAGAGTCCTGGATGAAGTTGGATTCGATGAGTTGGACGAGGTTTTCGGGCAGGTACTCGCGATCCCACTGCAGAACATCTCGGAGAGCCGAGGCCAACAGTCTGTGGGCGTCGTAGTAGCAGACAACTGCGATGAGACCTCGGTTCAGTCCGTCGAAGTGGACTTTTTGCGATTCGCCTAAAGTCAAGACCTTTTCTTGGTATTATCCACGGGGTTTTTTTTTAAGAGTAAAGAAATCTGGATTTTTTTTAATTAAAAAGATCTAGGAGACTTTGGAAAAAGAAAAATTTAGTTCTGAAATTGCAAATCTCACCTGCCAATACTAAATCCAAAGATTCCAGTTCATTCAGCTGGAAGATTTCGCTGACAATCAGAGACTCTGCACAAATATCCGAGTCGAGGGTCAGTTCGACGCCATCAATCGTTATTTGGGTGTTGGGAATGACTTTCGCCTTTGCGGCGGCTGATTTTTTCTGTAGAACATTTCCATCTTCCTTTTTATTTGGGATTTTTCATACCGAGTTGACGAGCAAACTTTGTAACCGACTTTTATTGTAATCCAGCAGTTTGTATATCGCTTCACACGACTTAGGATCGTCGAGATTGGAAAATTGGTGAATGGAGTCATAGAAGCGCCTGATCTCTAACCACATTCTGAATTTCAGATAAAGAAGTTCTGTTTTTCGAAGTTTTTCCATCAACAATATACCGAATAAAACCAAAACTGATCGCCTAAAAAGTGTATTTCGACCAAAACGAATTTTTATGGAAGGGGTAATTTTGAGAGCACTTTCATATAAGAATCTTTTTCTTCTTCTCAAGTTTCTTTCTCCAAATAAAAAGTAGAAAGCAGCAGAAAAAGCAATCCTGATATTTCTAGAAGCTTCCTCTTTCCGATTTCGTAGGCAAGTTTGAAATCATCACTTCCAGAGGTTATCCATGAAATTCATTCAAAAACTTTCGAAAAAAAATTCCGTCAACATTTCCCTTCTTTCACGGAATTGTTCGAAATGGTTTGGAATTTTAACGAAATATACTTCCAAGGTAGGAAAATGTTAAAACACTGTTGAATATTATGAAAATTGTATATAATTATGCTTTTATTCTTGTTTAAAAAAATAGCAAAAATATTTCGAAAGTACAGAGGCAATAAAATATACAATCAGAAAATGAACGAAATCAAGTTTTAGTCACAAGATTAGTATACACGTTGAACAGCTGTAAGCCTGAAAAACGGAAAAAAAAAACCTATAGCTCTACCAAATTTTCTTTTGGTGTCCTCCGATCCATCTCCAAACCGCACATTCATTTCCAGAGGGCAGAACTTGGATTTCTGTAGAAACTCGGGACTCGTTCGAATCAATGAACTGCACGGCCGCCTGCCACATGGTCAGTTCCGCCTTTCTTCTGTAACTTTCTTATTTTTTGAAGCGGTTATGAGGAAATCGTTCCCTGATTTCGGTCTGCATGGATATTTAAAAAAAAACCTTCTAGATGGCGGGAAAAGCAGGTCTCGGATGTGAGGCTGTGAAACGTACGGCTCCCCTTCCACTGACGATTCGCGAATTAAAGCTAAATGACACCTAATATTGAAAAGATAAGAACGAAAAACGTACTCAAAATCTTCTCGATGAGCTGATGTTTTTCTTCCTCTTGTTTCTCTTGAGTTTCCTTGTACTGCTTATAACCGAAGTACGCACCGCCGCCAAATAAGGCTACTACAAAGATCACAATAAATTCTAGAATTTACAAGTTTGCAACCTAAAACCACAGTTAGGATGGGAATTACTGTGTATCGGTAGAAAAAGTCGACAGTACTACGGAAAGCTCCTGAAAAAATAAGTGATGATGGAAATTGCGATCAATAATTTTACCTGTGACGACGGACATAGGATTCGACGCAGTTTGGCTCTGGTCGGTGACTGCGAACGCAACAGTCAAAACGACAAACATCACGCAAAGAGTCACAAAACAGATTCGTAACGTCTCGTTAAGGCTGCAACAACAGAAACCGTTGAAATAAATTTTATCGAACATTTCTTCCATTGAGCGTTGAACAACCTAAACACCTACCTGAATCCTTTAGTCACTTGAGCTTCGTACCTTCCTGTTTTCGCGTCTTTGACCAGATTATATCGAGAGCTCGCCGTTGTATTGGCCTATAGTTAATTATTCGATTTTTTTTTTAAACCAACTAACATTCTTTCCCAAAACTTTATCCCAGGCTCTACCAATGAGACCGTTTTTCTTGTTGTTCCGCTGTCGAACATCCTCATTTGAGTAAATAACACGGCTGGTTTCCAAACCATCTTCGTCGTCATCTTCTTCGGCTGTTGTAGCACCCAAATCATGGAAGTAGTCTGAATGTAAAACTTGCCATCTACTGCGACAAGAATCAACATACTTTCATCCTTACTTCGTTTTGATACGTAGTCCGAGCTGAGCTTCGGAGCAGTGAAACTCGCCGTTCCGAGGCCGTACCTCAGGGAGTTATTTGGAGTAGCAACATTGGAAAACATGGTTCTAAAGATACATACATGTTAGAGACATCTGCAGACGCAAAAATTGACCTGGGAGCTCTTGGAGGCGTGCCTCCAGGTCGATCGCCAGACGAACTGTAGTTAGAGGTGTATGAGGAGTAGTTTCGTGACGATAAAGACCTTTCGCCAATAGAAGAATCCAGTGGTTTACTGAGTGAATATGATAAGCTTCCTCATAATCCACGAAACATACCTTGAAGTGGCTATTGGTCTGGAGAAGCCGTGCGAATTGTCGGCTTCTGCAACAAAGACGGGTTTTGACGGAACTACGGCTGCTCTCTTCGGAGAAATGTGCTTCAGAAGTTCTGCTCGTCTCTCAGCGGCAATTTCCGCTTCGACTACGGCATCTTCTTCTGAAAATCAGTTTTCCAACTAAATTCGTAAAAATTTCAAAGAAAAACCTTCGACCTCCGACTTGTTTCCACGTCGATATGTAGTGCTTTTGTTCAAATTCGAAGCTGTACTGGGTCTTCCGCGAGATCTGGAAGGCGACGGAGGCGTCACGGGCTTGGCGACCATTACATTTACCGGTGCAGGTGTCTGAAAGATAAGTTGACAGTTACGAACTTTTTTTTTTCAAAACTTTAACTACCTTCGCTTTGGCATTGAGTGTAGCTCCACCAGAGCGAAGCTTTCTAAGCTTATTCTCGAACAAGGACCGCGTGGTTCCGGTGATTGGCCCGACATTAACACCAAATGCAACCAATTCTGATTTCAACTCGGCATCAGAAAGTTTTTCCACCTCGATAACCATCTAAACGATTTCTTTCGTCGGCAAAGACCGATAACGCGTTATTTGGATATGAAGAAAAAAAAACGAAAAAAAAATCTTGAATAATCTTTTTGAAAAACCGTATTCCCTACTACCGCTAGAGATTAGGTGATATCATAAAAACAAATGAAACTAAACAAAATAATAAAACAATATAAAGGCGCCAATTTTGGTTTAAAATTTTCGAAATTCGAACTAGTGGTGCTAGCAGCCCCTTTAGAGGTGAAATACAATTGCATCGCGTTAGAGCAGAGTTTCTCCTGAAAGTTTTCCATCGAGAGAGCAAGGGATCTCGAGAAAGTCTTTACTCTACTCAAAAATTTATTACTTTCCCTTATTTTCACGCAAAATATTTACTCTTTGACTATGCATTTGCTAATAGCAACATTTAAAAAAGGTAAGTTGAAGTATCTCCCTTATCTCGATAGCTTTGAATATCGATCAATATCACACTTAAGTGTGAACTTATCTCGATTTTGATTTTTTCGACTCAGATGGGCGATCCCTCTTTTTCGAAATCTCGGAACTTGTTAGGAAGAATCTTCTCACACACAACAGCTACTGCATCTTCTTCAAGAAGAAGGTGGGTTTTTTTTAAAAATAAAAATGGCACTTTCTTCGTTTTATATGAAAATAAAATAAAGCCTTCGGTACTTGTACAGCTTGCCTCACGTAAACTGACAAGAGATTTATCATTGGGGCGCTCTTTTTCACACCTCTTTGATTTTTTTTTCTTTCATCTTCTCGGACGTTGGTAACGCCAAACAGACGTGCACCGGACGTTAATGAGAAATTTTAAGGAACACTTAAGGATGCTGACGCTATTAAAGTGGTCACTAGAAATGCCCGGACATGTCCGTTTTGCGTTACCAGTGTCCGAGTTCTTTTTTTCTTTTTGGGAGTTTTTCGTGCCCATTTCGAAGTGATTCCGCGATATCCAAAATAGCGGTCAGACATTGAGGAGCGATTTCAGCCATTTTAAATTTTCTGTTTATCCTTTCTCCTTTGCAATTTAACAAAGCAAATTTTACACAGAAGAAAAACCCTCAGCTGCTTTTAAGAGCATTGGGCTGGTACCTCTTATTGTCCAGACGGCATCGGAGTTAATCAAACTCCGTCCGCCATGAATTCGAAGACGTTGCTAGCCGATGAAATGGAGCAAAAAGACAGCAAAAAATGAGCCTCTGTCACCCTAAAAGGAGCATTTCTATGGAGCCTTTTTCCAACCTTTCCGACTTTGCCTATGATATCGGATCAAGGTTTTTCTGGCTTTACTCTACAGAATTTTGCAATAGGCAGTGCCTATGCCAGCACATTCCAAAAAAGCTTCATGCATTCTGCGATACAGTGCTTTGCATTTTGTACAGACGTACCTCGCATTTTACACTTTTTTTCGTCTGTACAAAAGTGAGACCAAAAAGAAAGGCAAAATGCGAGGAACTTCTAGGCAAAATGCAAAGCTCTGATTTGCAGGATGCATGCAACTTTTTTTTTTTGCAGAATGCCGGCATAGGCACTGCACTTTGCACGATTTCAGTAAAGTACTTCAGTGTGGATAAGGTCAAGCCTTCTCTTTTTCTCATCATAACATTTTTTAAACTAAAACATTCAAAACCTCACATCAATATTTCCAGTAGTAGTCGATAGTCGGAGTATTTTTCCACGCTTATTCGTTTGCAATTCACGTTATTTCTGAAGAAAAAAATAATTAAAAGCGATTTAAAAAAAAAATCAAACTGCTTTATTTGAAATTTTCGTCGAATCTCCATGTGTTGAACAAATCAATTTCTTTGAAAGCTTCCTGCAATTATTTCAACATTGAAAAAAGCAAGTCGATTGAATTATTTAAATCGCAATGTTTTGGCTGATTAGCTATGTAAAGTCAAAGTAAGTTATGGAAGTCTCATCCAGTCAGAAGAACTAACTAGGCGGTGCGCTAGAGCTCCGCTCGGCCTTGTCAGAACTAAGATTCCTAGACGCCGAAGGCCGTGACGGCATTTTCCGCGGGGGTCCCATCATCGCTTTGTCAGCATCGCGCTGCCAACAGTTTGTGCCTCGGCCACTGGAATGGGCTTCAGCGTGACTTTGCGTATCCAATTTGCAAGCAAAAAGGATCGGCACTCCGGGAGTCCCGCGGGCCTAATCTACTAGCGCTTACAACTCAGAAAATTATTTTGGATATTAGAAGTTCTATGGAAGTTTGAAACTCATCTTGACGTAGAATTCAGGAGCAAGACGAATCGTGAGGGAAGCGAAAAATGAAATGCGATCCAGGTCATATAAGTAGAAATGACACGTTGTCACGTGGTTCACGTTTTTTTAATTTTTTTAAATTTTTTTAACATCAAGAAAATGACCTTGCCACGGGGTTCACGTTTTTTTTTTCAGAATGAAATTTTTGTTCTGAATAAAATTCTGGGTCATATGACGTGAAAGGTAGAGCTAGTGGAGACACTAAAAAATTCTTTAAAGTTCGAAGTTTATAATTTTTCAGCCCTATAGTTTTTTTGCCCGCGGTTTTTATCGTTCAGTTTAATTAAATGTTTTTTATATCATATTCTTGAAACTGACAAGATTTCAAACATTTCATTAACAATCATCTTAAAAATGCCATGAAATATGAAAAAAGAACGCCGTGTTTAAAGTAATTTGAACGGAATTAAAATCTATTTATTCATATTATTTTCCAAGATTGAATTCTTTTTCACTATCTGACCGCTATTTTGAATTTCGCGGAATCACTTCGAATGAAAAACTTCCAAAAAGAAGAAAAAATATCAAAAAGGTGTGAAAAAGAGCCCGTGATATAGTCTGTTCAGATTTTTAATGTCAAGTGCAACGACGTCATTCAAAAACACTCTGCGGATGGCTCGCTCTCTGATTGGTTTATCGCACCATTATGGGCGGAGCTTGAGCATCGACTTGACATTCAAAATCTGAAGAGACTATAAATCTTTTGTCAATTCACGTGAGGCAAGTTGTACAAACACCGGAGGCTATAAAAAAAAACCGGAGTTTATAGTAACCAGCGTGATAGAATAGTCTTTGACACTGCTGCTCATTTCGATGAAGGTTATCACCAAGTTATAAAAAAGGTAGTTTGACATTTTTCTCAGAACGTGATGCATTTTATTTGAGGTAGCTATTGTTATATGCAAAATGGCCGGGTTCGACGATCTCGAGAACGCGGCTCTTGAAACCTTGAGCGTTCTGTTTCACAGATGTTCGATTTCTCTGTTTTCATTTTCTAAAAGTAGGAAAGTTACAGGCCTGAAACAGATCGCCGAACAAGCGCGACATTTCTGCGAAGTCTCTGGGAGAACTAAGCCCTCACCAGCTGACGTCTTAGCCGCTTTGGCCAATACGGGACTCCGTTTTGATGGAATTCCAGAGTTTTTCTACCATCAGCTCACCCAGCCTTTCCCATCACTTAGAACTCGTAGGGTTTTGTTTCTATATTGTTTTTTAAAATCATAGGTTTCAGTTTGGTCTCAAAAACTAATAGATTCTTCTCTTAATTCTCTTTTTCAAAGTCTAAACTTTTAAAAGCTGGAAGTTTTTTTTTTCAAATTCAATAGACATTTGGAGTATTGCTGCAAAATTTTTAACAATTAACCTCGGCAGAGAAAATGTTATTAGTGTAGATCGGATTCTTTGAAGCGAAATACAAAGAAAATTCTTCCTATCAATTTTTTATTAACTTTTTTGCGGTGTTCCAAAAAAAAATTTCAGCTTCGCTTTTACCTGTAGCTTCAAAAAGAGCGACAGTTAGGCTTGAGACCGACGAGCCACATCCACAATACGTTTTTTCGTGGATGCCGCCCTTTCCAAATGCACACACGTATATTCGAACTGATGTGGGTTCCTTTTAAGATTATCAAGTAATCTTTCTTTTTTCCCAGATTTGCGACGAGCCAGACATTTCCTATGAGAAAGTTCGCGAAACGATGGCTGTGAAAAGTCGAAACGCCGTTCGCTCCTTTGTCAACCACTGGATTCGAAGTCTACCAAGTTTCAGTCTCTTTCAAAGTTTCGAACAAGTGATCTCCGAGTCAGTCGATAGGATGGTGAGAAAAAGGAGCCTAAGTTTTTCATAATATAGTTTTCTTTGAAGATAAATCAACAGACGCATAAAGCCAGACGCACAGAGTCATTTTTTGCGTTCCGTTCTCTGTTGGGTCGAGATGAGATTGAAAATGAAGCAGCAAATAGAGAATTCCTGATCCAGAACGGGCTTATCACCGAAGAAGTGAGTGTTATCCAGTTTTTTGTTTCAAATTGATCGATCAAATTAAGAAATAGCTTGACTAAAAAATACCTAACAAGATGAAGACCTGGTAGAATTTTCTGTTTCTCAAAACAGAGCTGTTACCAGGCTTCTTGCTCAGTTCTTGCTTTATTAAACATACGGAGGACTCAGAAAGCAGACATGTAATTACACTGTAAGCGGATTTTCGTCTTTTTTTTCGTTGAAATTTTTCCAATATATATTTAAAAAAAGAACTTCGAGTAGGCTCTACCAGTGAGATTTTGAAAATTGTTATGAAACTCCAATTTTACACAATTTATCAACAAATAACACACCAGATTGTAGTAGATTTTTGTATAACTTTCCTCCTAATTTTTCTATTTGATTAATTATTCATTCGCTAATCTTTTTTCTGTCAGAGTGATTTGGAGTTGGCAGTTCTCTGCAGAGACGGAACGATAATCGACACAAGTGGTAAAAGAGTCGTCGTTGGCGCCGACGTCGAAGTTGAAATGGATTGTGAAGACGCCGATTCGTCGATGTCTCCGCAGAAATTGAAATGTTTGTCTTTTCAAAACACGCATGGTGATATTTTTCAGCTTTTAAATCAGTTTGACTCCAAAATATTTCGCTTCAGCTGATTACGATGTCGAAGAGATGTTGAACGAGTTGGATCGCTTTCAATTCGACGATTTTGATGAGAAGTTCAACGAACTCGACGCTTTGAAGCAGAAATGGATACTGGAATATTTACCGGAGTGGTGCCATGGTGAAATTTTTTTCCGGCTGTATACAGAAGAAAAAAACTGAAACTTCAAAAATAGAAACTCATTATGAGCTTTTTGTCATTCATATTTCTACGAAATTCGTTCTCAAAGAGTTGAGTTTTTTTCTCTCAAAAATGTCTACGTGAAAGTGAATTATTCCTATTTTTCCATAAATAGTTTGTTTTCCAATATTAATGGCACATAAATAATCAAATTACTGCAAGGAAAGTGTTTCTCAGGTGCTCAAACATTTTTTTTTTGTAGTATTGGAGCCATCCTATGAACACTTGGCTTATTTGAAGGCTGCCGACCAGGAAAGCGAGAAATCTAAAAACGATCAGACCAATGATGACACGACCGATGTGGGTTCTATTTTACTTGGCAATTTCGATTTCGATTTTTCAGCTTCAACCGACTGAAAACCCATACTTCATGCCTCCTGTTTTAGATGAAACGTGAAAAATAGCAGAAATTTTTTCGATTTTCACGTATTTTATTTTTGCTTTATCATAAATAAAAGCTTTGAATTTTTGGCTTTTTTCAGTTGTGAAAGTTCGGAGAGTATGCTTCTCAAATAATATCTCAGAAGATGCATCGAAAAAAAGCTTAATGTGTTTTTTTTTCGAAAGAAGTTATAAATGGAAGCTAGGACGTTTTTTTTTTGAGGTTTTTGTTTAAAATCCGGACATTGTCCGGGTGAATTATATCGGCTGAATATCTATTTTTTTCGAGTTCTTTTTTTTCACCCTCCGGAAATCTAAGAGGGGTATTTGAAGATGACTCACTATGAACTGCCGCCTCAAGTTCTCGGTCGTCTTGACCAAAAGAAGCAGGTGACGTTCGTAAGGGCGACGTCTTCTGCTGTGAATAAGGAAGAATCTCCGAATTCCCCGGCTCTGAACGCTTCCGAGTGTGGCAGCAAAGATTACGAGGAGATTCTCGCAGAAGCACGGAAAAGAACCGAACTTCGGACTCATGTCAAAGAGGAGGTCATCGAAGTTGACGACCAAGATGTCGTTGAACCGATTCGACTCAAAAAAACGAAAAGAAAGAAGAAAATTAATGTTTCAGGTTTGTAAATTTCTTGGGAGTCGTAGACATCTTTTGTGTAGTTTCATGGAGTGTTCGGGACGTCAACGCCTTTCTGAAAGCAGCAAAAGACGGAGACCTCGCTGAGGTCAAGCGATTTGTGAGTAGAGGTTGATGAGATATCTGATTTTGGAATGTATTTGGGTCTCCAGGAATGCCTCCGGACGCAGCCGACTTCTACGGGTGGACGGCTGTTATGTGCGCCATCGCCGAAGGACATTTCCATCTTTGTGTGTTCGTTTGTCTATCTTCTTATGGGACATAAATTTCGATGTAGACTGTTTCTAGCTATCTTCTGGAGCATGGCGCAAATGCAGACGCGCTGGATTCGACGGGCAGCGGAATCGTGACGATTGCACAGAAGGCAGGACACGATTGGCTTGTTCGGGCGCTCATCCGTCACTTTGATCCGTGGTAAGTGGCTTGCGCATAGTCTTGTACAAGTTTGTCTTTTTTTTTTTGCTTTGCCTTGCTTTTTCTAAAGCTTTTTTTGATGAACAATGTATCTTTTTTTTTTGAGCCATTTGTTCGAATTCAAAGTTGAGAGATTTTAGAGTCGGAGCTCGCAAACTGAAGGTGTACAGGGTTTGAAAATGAGATTTGCCAGAATAGAGCCACTTTTTTTTACCGTGGCAAACGATAAAATCACGTCAAATCATATACTTTCCGAGGATGTCGAAAAAAGTAATCAGAAGGATTGTCATTTTCCACTGTCATTTTTCAAAAATTCTTTTTTGTTCAAAGAAAGAGACTTATTTTGATGACGTCAATGTTTAGAAACGTAGAATGAAGGAGAGGGACGCATACAATACATTTTACAGGAGGCAACACCCAAAGGAAGGGGAGCACCTCCAAGATTTTCGATGCGACTTGTGCGATTTGAACTACAAGGCCGCGTCACAGAATGAGCACCTTGCTTCGCTGTGCCATCAGTTGAACGAACCGGGCAGCTCTCGAGCGGCTCCTCATTCTGGATTCGTCATCGATCCAAATAACATTGGTTCCTGGCTTGGAACTCATTTATAGTCATCGGAAGAGTTCAGGTTATCGGTTACTAAAAGCGAGCGGTTGGTCAGAAGAGAAAGGACTGGGCAGAAACTCGGAAGGAAAAAAGTTTCCTGTTAGTTTACTTTTCTACCCGGAAATCATCTCTTGTTCAGATCAAAACGGTGCTGAAGAGAGATCGGAGAGGATTTGGCCTCGACAAACTCTCTCCTAGGGTCACACACTTCAAGCCATATGATGAGGCGGCGGTCAGAAATGAAAAGAAGTTCGATGGAAAGTTGTTTTTTCTACTCAATCTGTATGCTTTCAGAATAATCACGTCTTGGAAAGAAGATCTACAGAATAGAAAGAAAAAGGAAGATCGAATAGCACGGGATTTTCGATCGTCTTTCGAGTGAAAATTTAATAAAAATTAATCTATCTCATCGTTTTTTATTGATTGCCGGATGGCTTTGATGTCCATTACATATTTTCAATGATTGCAAAAAAGTTTCAGCCTTGAGCTACATGGAAACGATAAGTTCTAGGTTTTAGTTTTTTGTTAGCAAATGTTCTTCCTGCTTTTTTCATATCCATGAGCAAATTTCGATCGCAAAGTTACCAACGAATATTTTTCTTCTTTATGACCTCTTCGTTTTGAGAGTTTTCAGAGAAACTGTGTGGTCAGATCGCAATGAAAACGCTAGTGAGCAAGGAAAGTATTGAGAAAAAAAAAACCCACGTGAAACACATTTCAAGAGGAAAAAGTCTGAAAATGATTCGTCAGAACGTCGATTTTTTTTGTGAGTCTAGTTTGAAAGTTACGAAAAATATTAAGTTTTTCACTTCTAAAGTTTTTTTTTTGTAGGGGATTATTTTATTTCCACTTCAAGAAGGAATAAAAAAAGTGGTTGATTTTTTTATTTGAAGATATAGTCTTCTGAGTTCTCAATGATTTAAAAATTTCTCAATAAGTTTTTTTAGTTGATATTGAAAAACTCTTTACAGATGGGCGAGTATGGCTGTAACGTGTGTAACGAAGAATACTCGACCAGTGTCGAAGCCAAGTTTCCCAGAGTCCTTACAGGTGAATTACAAAGTCCCTTTCATTCTGTAGTGAAATGAACTTCATCTTAAGGAAACGGCTGCCTGTCAAAGGCTATTTTTTGGAAGAAAAAAAACTGAATGCACAGTAATTTAGATTCAAAATGACCAGTTTGCAGGTTGTGGACATACGATATGCCACGGGTGCGCCAGTTCTATCGCCATATCTGGAAGACCCACCATAGTCTGTCCTTTTGACAGGATCCACACAAATCTACCAGAAGGTAATGTCCGCCCGAAGGTTCTTAATTAATCCGTGAATTCAGGAGTAGTCCGAAGTTTGAAGAAAAATTTTGCTCTTTTGGAGCTTATGGAGAAAATTGCGGAAAGCTCTGAGCAGAGAAATGCCCTGGAGAAGGGAGACAAGTACGCGAAGGAACGACTTCTGAGCGTCGAGTGCGACGAGGACAATCGCCATGTCGCCGTCCTCTACTGCACCGTCTGCGACAGCAACCTTTGCGAGCGGTATTTCTTTTTCTTTTCTGTCTCCTCTGAAAGAATTTATCGTAGAATCTCTGTTAGTATTCGCTTTCTGCAACTAAGAACAAACTTTGCGATAGTTAGGAGAAAAAAAAACTTCCAAAAGCAACAAAAACGGGACCGCTTCGCGACCGCGTTGCAGACGAAATTCTAGCCGGGTCGGTCCCACGGAAATTTCTGGTTTCATGGGATAAACTTTCGAACAAAATCTTCACGATTTGCTACCGTTTCCGTGGTCAAAATCAGAAATATTTCACTTCGAAAAGCGCTTCCCAACCGAACAAGCCTCCGTCTTTGACGAATATCCTTCCATTGCATTGTTCTATAGCATACTTGTAAATACGCATTTTCTTGGGGTTTTGATTGAAGTAAAAGTACCAAGCAAATACAAAATTCCACACTTCAAGTGACGCGTTCAAACAGTTCTCCGTACTGTCGAGACCTTTTTTCGATTGACTGGAGCCCTTTTTACAAACAATTATTCATTCTAAAAAATTCCTACAGTTTACTTCCACTTACGTTTCACTGGGTTATTTTTTGAATCTGATAACACTATGAGAATTTCAATACGGAGATCTAAAATCAGTTTCTATGTGTTTTTTCCAGTTGCTCGGAGGGGACGCATTCTACAAATGTCCTGTCGAAGCACCGTCGGATCCCTCTGTCTGAAAAACCGTCGCCGAAAGTCCATTGCCGCCTCCACTCTTCCTACGTCGTCGAGTTTGTCTGCAAAGTAGAACGAAAAGTTGAAGTCAGAAAGAAGTCGAATCTTTTCCAGGAGCCGGACTGTGACTGCGAGAATCGACTCATGTGCTTGATGTGCCGCGACTACGGTAGACACAAGGTAGTTGTGAACTCGAAGAAAATAAATACGATTTGATCTCTTGAAGGGCCACGCCCACATTCTCATTGAACTCGAAGCCGACGTCCTCCGCAAACAGCTCGAGGAGCACATCGCCGAGTTGAGGGTTCGTCTGGAAAGCGTCGACGCCGCCTTGGTGGGCATCAAGCAGTACGTTCCTGAAATTCATATCAATTCATTTGACTTCTCTCTAACTAGCGAATTGAAAGAGTTTTGGAAAGTTCTGAAGCTTTGATATGAGATTTTCTCAAGAGCTTCATCATCAGAAATTTGGTCTTTTTTTTCGATTTTTTGCATCTCGATGAGACCAAATTCCTGCTTCTTTATACCTTCAAGCACGAATCGAATTCTCGAAAAGTGTACTTCCTTTTTTTGAGTCCATTTCATGTTAATTTTTTTTTTGTAGTAATACATCAACAGAGAAATTTATGATTCCGTTACGGAGAGAAAATATGAGATCAATTCGAACTATTCAAGATCATTTTGGTCATGTACCGTTATGTATAGATCGGGCTTTTTGAAAAATGAGAACCGGTTTGAATTTTCAGCCATTTTTTGTTTTTAAGCGCCATCGAAGACATCTCCCCCGGAAGATCTGATGGTTCATTGGTCGAAACACGTCAAGAAGTTTTCAGTCTTTTTGGGTTGATTTGAAGCTGAACACTCTAGGTTCGAGCTCACTTCCGACGGCTGAAGGCTGAACTGGAGCAGGACGAAGTTGCGGCAATCGAGAAGCTCGAGTCGTACTCCCGCGAGAAAGTCGAAGCTCTCAACACCCACAAAGATCGCCTGGAGAGCGTTTCTCTCAAGGTTTTTTTTTCGTGAACATCCGAAAGAACTTAGAGATTTTTGAGTTGGGCGATGCTTGCGGGCAGCTCCAAAAGTCGATAACTCTGGAGAAGAACCGTCTTTTGGATCGAGAAGATGATCTGTTGGCTCTGGCCGAGTCGATGAATGCCGAGCCATTAAATTTTCCGGGTTTCTCTTAATATCTTAAAATAGGATTTTTTTAACGATCAACTTAGCGAAGTCGATTTTCTAGACCATCACTGAGCTCTCAAAGATCTCAAAAAGTTTCTTAAAGAAAATGAGAGTCCCGAGCTCAGATGTCTTTTTTGTGACGAAAAACTTTTCAGATGAGACTCAGCTCTCGACGAGAATCGCCTTTTCCATTTCGCGCGACAACCGTCTGCACATTGGCTCGTTCATCGACGTCCGCGTTGTTTTCCTCGGTTTGTTTTCTTTTATAAATGCAACTGATGATTTGGAACATTACCTTTTGAAAGCTTTTCAATCTTCTTTTGGTTTTTCAAAGAGTGTTTTGGTCAACTTTCAGAAAATTATCAACCACTCAGTGAAATGACCTTTCCTGCGAAACCCCTTTCCAAACATTTTTCTGCAGGTCTTGATGGTTCTGGCAAGACTTCGATTGTGCGGCGACTGAGGAGAATTCCTGCCGATTCGATGTTGCCACCTCATCCGACCGTTGGGTTCGTCTCAAATAAGACATAAATATCGGAAAAAACTTTTCAACAGGTCGATTTTTAGAAGCTCTGACAATCTCTAATGAGGGAAAAACACTTTTCTTTGATATTAAGCGGCTTATTCTGATACTGGCCAAACTCCAGAATACCGATTTGTTTTGCTGTTTTTCAATAGTAAGAAGGTTAATCACATTGTTCAAAAGGCTATATTTTTGACCAGTTCTTTCAGTTTCTAAGACTTGATGTTACAGTTTCAACGTGGAGACGATCCACTATAAGAACTTCCGATTAAATATTTGGGACGTCGGGGGACTGCCGAGGCTTCGGCATCTCTGGAAACACTACTACTTGAACGCCCAAGGTTGGTTCAGTCATCATATCAAAAATAATTGGGTTAAAGAAACTTTTTCATGACAATTAAAGTTGAAATGAAGTAAAATTAAAAAAAATTAAAATATGTGGAAGAGCTGAATTTTCAAGAACGAGTCAAGTATCTCAGACGTTGTCTTTTTGCTATATTTTTTTTGGTATTTTTTTTCTTTAGCACTGACATTCGTTATCGATGGACACGCGGCTGAGCGATTCTCCGAAGCCACCAAAGAGCTTTTCAAGGTTTATTTTTTTACATAATTATGAGGAGAAAAAGTGTTGAAATTTTTTTCTCGAAATCCGTTTTTCATAAAGACTTGTGAAATTTTTCAGGTTATAGCTGATCCGCTTGTCGGAACTTGTCCTGTTCTCGTCGTCATCAATCGGAAACAGTGAGTTTTCAAAATAATCTTTGAGTTTTTTTTTTATTTTTTATTAGCGCAAAAAATAGGTTCACTGTAATATTTTCTGTTTTTCCTTCTTTTTCACACTTTTTCCTATAAATGTTCAAAAAATTTTTTTATGGACGCTCAAAAAACGTACGAGAAGCCCCAAAATAGCTGTAGGAGGTTGGCTGTTTTCATGAGTTTTCTTCGGTATTCACATTTTCTGATGCAGTTCAGATTCAAAACTTCTAGATTATTTATTTTTACTAGAACCTTTCTTGATTCGTTCTCTGAAAAAGGAATGTTTGAGAAATCCTAAACTTGTTTTTTGGTAATCTAGAAAGTTTTGCACACTGAGACAAATGATCTTCACAAAGTACATAAAGCAAAGTCTTGCCCAAACCTTAGAAATTGTGTAATTTTCTTTTCCTTTGACGCTCACACTGTCCTCGTTCTTGAAACCCTCGTGGAAGGATTATAGTTGGAAAGTTTCAGGGACACGCCGATCGACGGACAGTTCGACGCACTTCTCTCGACTCTCTCTTCGACGTCGTTCCCTCTGCAGATCCACCAATGCGACATCGAGACTGGCGTCGGCCTGCCGCGGATCATCGACAGCATCTCCAGCTCCTTGTCCAGGATCCACGACTATTCCATGTAGTCAGCCACAATCTGTACATATGTTCATGTAATTCATTAGTTCACCGATTTTCTCTTCCAAAAGGCTGAAATAG